GGCCAGGCAAAGGCTCTAGAAGGTGACACAGAGGCCATGCACTTGGGACAACTGCCATTTCCTGCTAAGGCTCCTAGATGGCTCCCATTGGGCCGCAAGTCTCTGGGGGCCAGGAGGGGACACGGGGACAAGGAGTCCCCACAGCGGGGCATGCAGGGCTGCCAGCATTCACCAATGAAGACCCCAGGAGCCCGCCCGCCCGCCCGCTGCTGAGCCTGCAGCACCCGCTGGGCACCTACCTGACTTGCTCCTAGCAGCCTTCTGGGACGCCGAGGTCCTGGGGCGCTCCAGACGCATCTTCTCCAGGTGCTGCTCCAGCAGGACAGAGCGCTGACGCTCCTCCTGCAGCCTCTGCTCAGCTTCCAGCAGCTTGCTGCCGCTCTCCTCCACCCTGGCCGTGAGACAGGAGCTTCACACCCTGCGGGCAGGTGCCCACTGGCCCGACTCTTGGATCCCACTGCGGTGGACACACCGTGGAGGTGCCTCCCCTCCCCTGCCTTGGTGCTCACAGTAGTAACACAACAGAAAGGCATTCAGACTCTCTGAGGCTTACGACGATGCAAACTTGGCCGTGCCCCACCCCCTTTGCTCCCAACTCCTGCCCTCAGAGCAACCACCCCTCTGGTGCTAGGCTGCTGCTTCTAGAGTTTTCTGCCGCACCGTGCGGATGCTCCTGTGCCTGGTTTTGCGCCTGGAGCGCGGGTCTTGGCTTCCTGTCATGCTGGATGAGGGTTTCATTTCATTTTACCCTCTCCTGTCAAGCTCAGTCACCTTCCCCCTTCTCGGCTGGTTGACACTAGGCAGTCTGTCTGTTCCCACCGCTGCTGTAACACACCCACCACAAAGCAGCAGAGACTAATAAGCGAAATTAGCGACAACACAAAGTTAGCATCTCAGGGTTCTCTCTGTGCATCTGAGGCCGGCAGGCTCCAGGCACCACAGGCTGGAATACAAGTGTCAACTGACCTAGCTTCCTATCTGCGGTCCCTAGTCCGGGGATTGGCTCTCCAGCCCACCCAGAGCCACGTCCCTGCCCACTGCTGGCTTCAAAAGGCACAGTCCCCAAGTCCCTCCTTCCCAAAGCTGGCTCTGAACGGCTGTGACCTGATCCTTTCCCCACAGCTCCCTCAATGGCCCCAGGCAGGAGCCTTTCTCTGCCTTTAGGGGCTGAGATGATTACCCAGGATCCTCTTTTGGGGCCCGTGGTGCACTACAAAGTATTCAGAGGCAGAGAGACCATAGCCTGCTTCCTAGGGGACACACTCGGATGAGCTCAGACACGGGGACACGTCCTCACTTCTGTTCCCCTGGGCTTAGTGAGGGCCATGTGCTTCTCTCATTGCTGCAAACCGGAGGCCCTTGAACACCCGGCTAGGATTATTTCACACGGAAGCTTTTCCGCCCCGAGGGCCTTGCCGTGGCTCCAAGAAGCGCTTTGAATCTCTGTGGCAACAAAAACCCAGCAGGCTGGGAGCCTCTGGGACCAACCTGAGCCAAAGGTGACAGAGACAGTGACAGATCAGAGCTGCAACCCGGAAGCCCACATGGACAGCAGGGAATCGAATGATCTTTCTGTATCGGTGAGGGGACAACAAAGGATTGGAAGGACAAGAAATCTGAAGGGAACGGATCACTAACCAAAGACTGTACACTAGGTGGCTGTACGCTAGGCTGACGTGACCAGTAGGCAGAAGCCAACTTTGTCTTCAAAAGCAAGATGCACAGCAACCCCAGGGCAAAGGAGAGACGGGTGGGGCAGGGCTCACACCCCAGCTGGGCTGCCCCGCCCAGTGTGTGGCTGCACCCAGAGCCCACAAGTAGCTATGAGGATTAAAATGGGCTCACCAGCTCCTCAGGCACGCTGGCAACGCACCAGGCTTGGGAAAGGTACGCTACCCACTACAGACCCGAACCGTTTCTGTGGGTTCTGCCGAGCAGCCCCCCACTCTATCCATCAACACAAACATACTCCGCAGGTCATGGGGTCAGGGAAGCAAGGGCCAGGCCATGAGAACACAGAGGACACGGTGACAAGAGAGGGTCACGAAACAATGGCATCTGCAGGCCCTGCTGTCTGCAAAGGCTAGAACTAGTGTCCTGACAGCAGGGTGGGGGTGTGGGGAGGGTCAAGGTTTGAAAGTGATGGACAACTTAGTCTGGATGCTGTTAGCAGGGGTAGCAAGACTGGTCTGGTCCCCGTCAGCAGAGGTTTGCAGCAAGACCGAGGCCCTGACCTGTGGGGATGTCCCCTGGACGGCCTGCTGGCAGTGAAGGCGGCCGCAGCCATGGGAAGAGATGGAGTGGGCTGACCCCCCACACCCGGGGCCTTTACTGCTGAGCCATCTTCAAGGCCAAGTCATCAGAGACTTGCTGTCTTCAAACAGTACAAGAATTCCAGGGAAAGAATGTCTGCAGTTTAACAGCAACAGGATTCAAGACAAACAATCCCACTAAAAAGTAGGCAAAACGCCGGGCGGTGGTGGCGCACGCCTTTAATCCCAGCACTCGGCAAGCGGATCTCTGTGAGTTCGAGGCCGGACTGGGCCGATAGCCTCCAAAACAATACAGAGAAACCCTGTCTCGTAAAAACCAAAAAAAAAAAAAAAAAAAAAAAAAAAAAAAAAGTAGGCAAAGCATTCTGTGCCTCAGAGAAGATATGTGAATATCCATCAGCACATGAAAGAAACGTTCAGTATCTGTCATCACTAGGGAAACAGGAGCCACATTGACCCACTGGGGCGGCCACAGCCAGCAACAACACGCAGCTGCCTGGCGTTAAGAGACTCAGCATCATCAGCATCACAACTGCCTGGAAGGCTGTGAGCATGGCCGTAAGGGGATGAAGACTCACGGATGAAACTCACCCCCTATTCGTAATCTTGAAAGCTCCGAGAGGCTGGGGTGCAGCTGGGTGGTGGGGCTCCCGCCTGCGGAGCTCAAGGCCCTGGGATCACCCTAGCGGCCATCTTTGGGTCCGGTGGCACTCAGGAGACAGGGAAAAGAGTCTCTGAGTCTGAGGCCAGCATGGTCTACACAGTGAGCTCCAGGCTAGCCAGGGCTGCATAGTGAGGCCCTGTCTCAAAGACAAACAAACAGACTAAAGACGTCAAAGTAAAATGAGGACAGAAATGAACATCTTAACGCCAGAAAGTGTTTGCAGACTAGAAACCAGTAACTCAACTAGAGGAAGTCCGTGCACAGAACCTGCTTTGGGGAGCAGAGAAGCGCCATGGGGCATTAGTGAGGGAGACACGCAGACACCATGCATGATGTATGGTGCAACTTAAATATTTACAACAGATTAACAATTTAAAAGCAAACAAACCCAAGGCTCCTGTCACTCTGCTCGAGGAGTGGAAACTGACCCACGTGGGGACGGAGGGGCTGTGCCTTGTGCTCTGCTCCATCTTTCAGGGGTGTGCGTTCTGTTTAACCGTGGGTTCCACTTACACTCACAGACGTGAGAAACCGATGCACGCTGGTGTCATGGCAAGTGCTAAAGCGTGATGTGAGTTTCCCAGCGTGCGTGCGCGTGCGTGTGTGCGTGCGTGTGTGCATGCGTGTGTGCGTGCGTGTGTGTCTGTGTGTGTCTGTGTGTGCCTGTGTGTGCACGCTGGTGTCATGGCAAGTGCTAAAGCGTGATGTGAGTTTCCCAGCGTGCGTGCACGCGTGCGTGTGTGCGTGCGTGTGTACGTATGTGTGTGTGCATGCGTGCGTGTGTGCCTGTGTGTGTGCGCGCGCGTGCGCACATGTGCCTGTGTGTGTGTGCCTATGTGCAAATGCGTGTGTGTTCCTGTGTGCACATGCATGTGTGTGTGCACAAGCATGTGTGCATGTGTATCTGCATGTGTGTATGTGTAGGGGTTATGTGTATACGTGTGTATAGGTGTATGCGCATGCCCATGTCGAGGTCAGAGGTCAGTCTTGTTGTCTACTCTTAGGCACCATCACCAGGTTTCTCCCTGGACTGAAAGTGATCAAGCAGACTTAGATGCCTGGCCAACAAGCTACAGGCATCCTCCCCAGCTCTGGGGTTACAAGTTAATGCTAACACACCCTGTCCCAGACAAATGACAGCCCCGCCCCCAGCACATACACACAATGAAAAACTATAAACAGTACTGGAATGACTTTGAAAGAACTAAGTCTAACACCATTGAAAGAAAAAGGTAAGCAGGCAAGAAGGAATGCCCCAGGGCAGAGAGAGGCAGGAGGCCAGGACTTCAAGGTCAGCCTCCCCTACACAGGGAATCTCAGGCCAGCCTGGGCTACAAAAACTAACAAACAAAAACCAGATTTTAAACACCACCAAAGACAGTTATTAAAATGGGCTTCATGGCAGTTCCATCTTTTTAGACTCCTATGCATTAAATCTCTTAAACTCTCATTCATGAGAAAAGCACCAGAAGGTGTTTTTAAAGACACAGATTCAGAGAGCCAGCATTGCCATGGCCGCCCAACAGAGCACACGCCCGTGAGAGCACGTCACACTGAGAGAGGCAGAGTGGAAACCCAGAGGTGGCAACAGTGCAAGCAGGGGCAGCTGGCTGGTGAGTGAGGAAAGGGATAAAACTCAGCTAACCCTGCCTGAGGGACAGAAGGCGAGAGAGAGAGCGAGAGAGAGAGCGGCAGAGACCAATCAGCAGATAGGGAAAGTCGAGACGCAGCCAATACCCAGTGTTGGGTTGGGGGTGAGGCAGAGGCAAGGGGGTCATAAGTTCGGGGCCAGTCTGGGCTGTTTTCACAAAACACAGCACCAAAGTCAGCTACATCCTTTTAAAGAGAGACAAGTCAGCCGGGTGGTGGTGGCGGCGCACACGCCTTTAATCCCAGCACTCTGGAGGCAGAGGCAGGCGGATCTCTGTGACATCGATGTCAGCCTGTGGTCTACAGAGTGAGTTCCAGGACAGTCAGGATTGATACACAGAGAAACTCTGCCTCAGAAAACAAAACAGAGGGGAGGATAGATGGGGAGGGAGGGAGGGAGGGAGACAGCCCCTCCCTTCTCACTGTAGGTGAGGAGGGAAATGGGCCAGCAGGCGAAGGCACCTGTTGCCTTACAGCTTCAGCCGGGTTCCCAGAATACACACGGTGGGAGAAAGGAAGCAATTCTGCAAGCTGCCGCTAACCTCTACACGCCTGCGTTGGAGCATGCTCTCTCCCCTGCACACACACTTACTTCTCAGACATGCTAGCCGGGACCCTTCCTGACTGTACCCTGGGGTAAAGGATCCCGGCTGAGCGCAGGAACTTCCTCGGGGCAACAGAGTTTGGTAACTAGGTGGGGATCGGGCTGCCAGGAGCTTCAGGGTGGGCAGCGTGCAGAGGAGGGCCAGGGCTGGCTGCTAGGAAACGGTCTAGGACAGAGGGCCTGGCTTTGGCTGATGAGCCTGAGCACAGCGTCACAGAGCCCCAGTGACACAGAGCCGCAGGATCAATCTAAGGGCTCCCAGAGCTGCCAGAGCTGCGCTTTGACTCACGGAGAGGGCCTGTCTCAATCTGGGCCCAGCCAGGTGTGGGAGGGCCCTGGGAAAGGCCACTTCCAGGTGGGGGGGGAGGCCACGAGTCGCCCCTGTCCCACCGCGGCAGAGACAGTGCCCCTGGCTGCCCCTGTCACTGGAGCAGTTCCCAGCGAGCCCCTAAGTCAGGATGGCTTGTTCTGCAACTACAGCTAAGCAGGTCCCCCTCCAGTCACAGGCATAACAGTGAAATGGGGGCAAAGCCCAGACGGAGGACACGGCTGCCTCTTGACAGGCATTAGTGTCAGCCCCTGAATGCAACTGTGGACAGGGTGGGTGCTTTGGACACCTGGGACCCTGCATGGCAGTCTTCTGCTCTTCTGAACGGTCACCCCAGCTCCCTCGCAAGTGAGCCCCCTCCCCCTCCAGTTCTGTGAGTGCCTGGAGGTACTTCCAGCCTGGCTGTCCTCTCTTGGGGATGAAGAAGAGGTTAGAACTCCCAGAAGACACGCTACCAAGACCCCTGCACCAACTTGGGCCCCTCTGCTATGCTCCTCAGCATTTTCTAGTACTTTCCAGGTCTCCCTCCCACTAAGCTCAGGCAAGACAGGTTTGTGCACATGTCTGGCCCTTGTGCTGGCCTAGGGACCTTCAGTTATTGCCAGACAGGCCATACAGCAGGGGCACTGATGAGTGGGTGAAATCTGTCGGCGACCCTCTGGAGGCAGCTGGGCCCAGTGGGCACCTCAGCTGCAGACTGCCTCCTTGCTTGTCAGAAACCTCAGCTCCTCGCCTCCTCAGCCATCCTCATGTTCCCAGCGTCGGGCCAGGCTCTATCTTCTTCCCATGAGACCCTCTGGCAGCTCTTATAGGATGGCCACATGTGGCAGAGTTTAATTGACCCTTGAATTGAGTCTCACTGTGTTCACTAGAGAGCCATTCCCCCGAGGTGGCCATCTGGTAGACCCTCCTGGTACACAGGAAACAGGGCTGCCCCCTGTGATGGCAGAACCCAGACTTGTGGGCCCTGGAGGAGCATGTGAGCTGAGACCCTGAGAGAGCCCAGTCCCAACCCACACAGGCCTAGAAGAGAGCTGGCTAGGTGCCAGGTGTTACCGCTTCTGCAGGACGGCGACAAACTCATTGAGGCGGTCGCGCTCCACCTCGGCAGCCTGCCACAGGGCCTTCATTTCTGCTGCTCGTACCCACCAGCCTTTTTGTTCTGGGGAGTCCAGGAACCTGGGGCCAGAGTGGAGGGCAGAGGGTAGAAGTCACGCTAAGTTTGAAGACATAGACATCCCCATACAGTGGCAGGGGGGACTGTGACATTTAGAGGGTCTGGGATGGCCAGAGGGGAGGGAAACCCAGCCACCATACCTGGTTCTGCTAGGTCACTCGGGCCTACTAAGCTGCTAGTGGCATTGTACCTCTGTCTATCGATCCCCTGTGGAGGACCAAGGGCCTGGTCCCCTGCCAGCGTCGAGTGACTCGCCTTGGCTGATGGTCCCTGTACTGTTCAATGTCTGGCTCAAACTGTCAGGGGTACTTCATGGGGGACAGCAGCCCAGAGAGAGACCAACTTGCTTTACAGGCACACAGTAAACCTCAAGTGAGGGTGACCATGCCTGGATCCTGAGCTGACCTGCATGAGGGGATGGGGCGTGCTGACAGCCGGAGTCTTCGGTGAACAGTGGGTAGACTCAGAAGCAGGACAAACCATCCTTTGTCTATGAGCCCCCGAGGAGAACAAAGGGCGCATTTAAGCCCTGAGCCTGGCTTTATCCACAAAGAGGGGGCTGGAGAGCTGAGGGGATATCAGTGACTTAGTGTGGGGTGCTCCCCCCTGGAGAAAGATTCTCAGTGGGTAAGAGAAGGCTATAGAAGGCGGGGCCAGGCCAGGACGGCACCTTGTGCTGGCTCTCTAGTCCAAGAAAGAGGCCCAGACTGCCTGCTGGGGCCAAGGTCTAGCTTTGAAGTTGTTTACGCTATCAGGTGGTCTTATGTAACCCTCAACGAACGCTTGGACTTGGCCTAGCTTTGGTTCTCCATCCTTTTAATGGGCTGAGGACACTGAGCAAGGACAGGGGGTGAGCTCTGGAGCCCAGGATGCTGAGCAAGGGCAGGGGTGAGCTCTAGAGCCCAGGGATGCTGAGCAAGGACAGGTGGTGAGCTCTGGATCCCAGGATGCTGACTAAGGGCAGGGGGTGAGCTCTGGAGCCCAGGATTGCTATACTCCTACCTGGGTGAGGTCCCATGGGGACTAGGCAGGGATGGCCTCGTGAGAGCAGATTCCACCAGTGTGTGGCCCAGGCTGGTCACAGAGCTGTGTGGAGGCAGAAGGGGACATCAGGAGGGAAGGAGTGGGCACTGTTGGACCTCACAGTGGACAGGGATTGAGGAGGTCATGTGGGCCTCACGGTTTCCCTGTGAACTGGCTGCCCTTCCTTGTTCAAGATAAAACAGAGCCCCAAGCAATCCGACAGCAGTGAGTCTGAGAGACTCAGGAGTGAGTGTGCTCTGAGGCTGATGCAAGAGGCCAGACAGGGGCCACCAGCAAGTGCCTGAAGTGACGAAACCCAGGGCTGGTGGCTCCTTCCTGACACAAGGAGCCAGTGGACCAGGAGATGCTTCAGATGGATCAGCAGCAGGGTGGTCAGCCTGAGACATTGTCGTGTGTGTGTGTGTGTGTGTGTGTGTGTGTGTGTGTGTGAATGTGTGTGGTGTGAGTGTGAATGTGTGAGTGTGTATGTGTGAGTGTGTTTGCTGTAGTGTGTGTGTGGTATGTATGTGTATGTTTTGTGTTGAGTGGTGTATGTGTGTGTGTACGGTGTGTGTTTGTGGTGTGTGTACATATGTGTGGTGTGCTGTGTGTATTGTGTGTAGTGTGGTATGTGTACATATGTGTGGTGTGGTATGCATGTTGGGATGGTTCGACTTGCTTAGCATGCACAAGACCCTAGTTTTGACCGTCAGTGTTGCATAAATTGGTGGTGTGGCGTACATCTGTAATCCTAGTCCTGGGGAGGCAGAGTCACTCTTGGCTATATCCCAAGTTCAAGGCCAGCCTGGGACACTTGAGACCCCGTGTCAAAAACAAAAAGGCCAGACACAGTGGCACATGACTTTATCCCAGCACTTGGAGACAGAGGCAGGGGGATCTCTGTGAGTTCAAGGCCAGCCTGATTTACATATTGGGTTCCAGGTCACTCGGGGCTACGTACATAGTGAGATCCTGTCGCAAAATCAGTAAAACAAAACAAAGCTGCACTCAGGGGCTTTCAATAAGAGGCAGCAGAGGGACACCATTCCTCCGAATAATACACAGCCACTCACACTCCCTCCACCATGTGTTGTCCTTACCGAGAGGATCCTAGCCTGTGGATATGATCGCCTGCCGAGGCCGAAGAGTCGGTTACTGGGGTCTGGTCCTCAGGGAACCTGGCATGGGCGGGGCTGGCCCCTTCACCCCCTCCTTTACTGTGAAGATACTGCAGGGAACAGATGTGGGGCTGGATGTCAGGGCCTTGGCGCAGGGCCCAAAGGCAGGAGGGTGCCTTGGTGGGCTTCCAGCATCAGGGTTATGAAAGGAACTTCTCTTCAGGGTGGACGCTGGCCTGGGCAGCCAGCAGAGGCACTGCTTGCATAACAATGACATCTCACAATGCCTCTGTTCACATGGGGGCTCCAGAGTGAGACCAGTGTGGGCCAGGGCCATGGGGAGGTCGGAGCTGACGTCTGTCCTAGGTGGCCCCACACACATGGTGTGACCCGAGCCCAGGGCCATCCTCACTCCTCACGCCTGGACTTGAGATGCCTGGAGGGCAGCGGCTGTGTGCCGAGTGGGGCTTCCCAGCCCCTGCCCTCCTTCGGCCTCTTCCTCCTGTGTGTGCCAGAGCCTTGTTAGCAGGAGGTCGGGCCACCATCAAAGGACAGCAGTGAGCGCACTTCTCACAGCTTGCCACGGCATATCCCCAGGAAGTCTGAGAAAACTGGAATGTGCGATTGTATCTGGTGAGTGGAGCTTGGCTCCCAGCTGGCTGGCGACCTTGAATCTGTCCTCTGTTGGGTACCCAGAACAAGGACAAAAGGCGGCGGTGCTGGAATGTTCCATGCACTGCTCCCCAGGACACCAGGGCTGAGCACTGCAAGGCAGTGTCCCCCACCTGCCTGATGCCCAGAGCTGTCCAGCAGCCAATCCCGCAGCCCTAGGCTACCCTGGACACAGCAGACTAGTCAATCTGGGCCAGTCTGAAAGGAACCAGAGCTCTGACCGGACCTAGGACCCCAGAAGGGAACACAGGTAGAATGCTCAGTGATACATCTTTGTCACTCCAGCAGGTCTAAAGGGGTTATGCTCAGACTGGGAGACCTGCATGCCTGCCTCAAACTCCTCCTTCCCCAGAAGCCACCAACTCCCTTCTCCCAGTAACACCCCACAGGAGGGATCCCTAAGAGCTGAAGGAGCCCTGGGCAGGCTCCCAGGGCAGACCCAGACTGGAGCTTAGCATGGTCCTACAGCAGGCACCAAGGCCCCGTGGCCTGTGACCTTTGAGGGAAGTTCTGGGGGGAAACACGGGCACACAGTATGAGGAGAGATTAGCTTGAGAGGACCTGGGGAGCTAAGAGAGGCTCAAGACCCCTCAGGGAGCCCAGGGCTTCCTGGGAGAGCTCACGGACACTGGCATCCTACGGGCGGCTGGCCAGGATGAGGCAGTGGGGCAGGAAGAAGGAAGGCGTGGGCAGGGGTGGGGGATGGGAGTGGCAAGAGCAGTCGGAGCAGGAATGGGGCACGGGGCGGTGGTCCGTGATGCATGAAAACGTCATGCGGGATTCCTGTGCTGTGAGCCAATTAAAACCACGGCAGTGAGGAAAGGGTAAAAGGTGGCCCTGTGGGGGGACTGCCCCGCTGCTAGGATCCACAGGCTGCTCGATGAAAACTGCAGTGCCAGGCAGATGTTAATCGGGGAGGCCTCAAGGGCCCCCCGAAACAACACAGGCTATCAATGCTGCTCTTAGCTGTCCACCGTAACTACATGGCAAGATCCTACTGCTGAAGACGCTGCACGCTTTGGTTGTAGGACACGGAGAAATCTAGGCGGGTCCACTGTGCTGGCTAGCTGTCGTGGTGCCAGAAGGTGGCATGGGGTGGTGGGGGAGGGGTCATCAAAGGTGGCACCTAGCTGTGATACAGTGCAAGACTGTCCCCAATGCCGCAATAGTGACATGACTCTTCTGGCAGTAGTAACAGTAGATTCTTGGATTGGACTTGAGGCCTGCTCCACCGGGAGGAGTTCATGCCCGATACTGTAAACAGTGGCTGGAGAGGTCACAGGTCATAGGGAGGAATCCTTTACTGCCGCTTTGCTAGGTGGGCGCGGTATCAAACCTCCCACTAAGCGTGTGATACCCATAGGTAAGTACAGCCTCCCTCTCGGCAGCTTCTGTCTACACTGATGACTACGGAGACGAGCCCCTGGTCAGAGTGCTGAGAGTAAGGGACAGAGTGCGCTTAGCCCTAAACTGGACACCCAGGCTCCCCTCTCCGAAGCTCAGGGAACCCTGGAGAACAGGGGACGGATGGAGCGTGAGGAGGCTGCGAGGGGAACTGTGACACACTGTCCCGTAGACATGACCTGGCTGCCACCGCCCTCGCAAGCTCACAGGTGCTGTGGTCACCTGTGCAAGACCTGGACAAAATGGGGTTGTCAGCATTCCAGCAGGGGGAGGGGAGGGCTCGTAAGACCACACCCCTCTCAGGAACTACTGACATCCAGTGCTCGCTGGGGGGTGGGAGGACTCACTGTCTCCAGTGGTGCAGCCTCCTCCCCTCCACACACACACACACACACACACACACACACACACACACACACACACGTGCAAATGCGACCCTAGTTAAGCTCGGTGGGCCGCCCACAGAGAGACGGTATGAAGCAGGGGGGCCTGTTGGGAAGAAGGAGTTAGTGGGGGGTGAAATGGGCTGGGAGGGGTAACGGAGGACATGAGAATAACCCAGATATCTTTCATACATGTTTGACATCGTCCAAGACTGAAAAGATTTTTAATTTAAGAGGCGTGGCCATCCTACTGACTGCCATGCTAACGCAGTGTCTGGGGCAACGGCTACGGCTGGGTCACGGCGATGAGGGCCACTGCTGCAGGTAGGAAAGGATGAACTGGTAGGAGTCGGGATCCTCTTGACCCTGGGGAAGGGGACAGTGACAGGAAGCCGGGGGGAGGGGGTGGTGGCTTCTAAACTGAGCAAGGACGTGATCAGGTTGGCGTTTTAGACAAGAGCCCAGGGTGGTGGGACCACAGACGGGGGGGGGGGGGCGCTTGTGCGTTAGGAAGGAGAAGTGTGTTCGGAATTAGAAGGCTGCTGGCAGCAAGTGGTTCGCGTGGGCCCAGGATGGGGCGGTGGGGCCAGTGCTGAAGTTAAGTGCCAAGAGGTAGAGGAGCTACCTGGGCACCAACGGGCCCGCCCGGGCGCCACCCTGCTCACCTGCACACTGAGTTGCCCGATCTCCAGCTCCAACTGCCGCACCTTGGCCTCGCGCTCAGCTACCATGGCCCGCAGCTGGGCCACGAGGCTGCTGCTCTGTTGGGCCTCACTGTTGACCTTCTGGTCCAGGTGGTGCTGTGACGTGTGCCTCGATTCCTCCTGCACACTCAGGCTGCCCAGGATGTCCTGAAGCTGCTTCAGCTGGTCCTGAGGGTCAAGCCAGAGGATAGGTGGAGGCAGGCTCAGGCTACTTTTGGGTAGGGAAGGTCAAGACTTCCCAGAGCCATCCGACTTTCTCTAGGCCAAGACCACTCTAGCAGGAGACACTAGCTATCCTACTGAGAACCGGGAATACCCTCAGAGGGTTCAACTCCGATGCCGTCCAGCCTCGAGAGTCCCTCCTGGGAGACTGGGGCCGGAAGGCCATCTGGGAGAAAGCGCTCTCTAAGTACCAGAAGGCAGTTCAGAGGGTGGGTGCCCAGCTGGCAGGCAGACTCGAGTACGCAGAATGCATGACCCAGCGCACCGTGCAAGGCGTCCATCAGCAGCACCTGGCTTGACGGAGGCCTGGTCCCTACAGTGTATCCCCAAAGGGGACTCTAAGGACAGGGGCTCCCTACTCTGGGGCAAAGCGGAAGAACAGTATGGCCTGGGACAGGAGAGGGCAGCTGTCGTCACCTCAGGAGAAAATGGAGACTCACAACACCCCAGGCGCCGAGCCGCCGCCGGTCAGGTGCCCATGGAGGCAGGCTAACCCTGCAGTCAGCCTGCTCCTTAGAGGCGGGCGTGCCCTGTCTCATCCCCATTATGGAGTCCCATCTCGTTTTGGGGTCGCAAGGCCAAGGGTACCAGGGTCGCAGCCATCTCTCCCTCGGGCACTCTGGGCTGCTGCATCCCAGAGGCGGGGCTCCACCGTAGGAGGTGCATCTGGGGTGGCTGTGTCATCGCCACCCCCTGCATACCATGAGGGCGTCGATGAGCTCATCGTCGTGCCTGCCCTTCTCCACCAGGGTGACCATCTGGCTCCTGAGGGTCTTCACCTCGCTGGACAGCACCTTGTTGCGAGACCGAATGCCCTCAAACTTCCTTCTCAGCTCCTCCAGCTCTGTCTGGAGGGTGTCCCGCTCACTGGTCAGTTTCTGTCATTAGAGAATGAGAGCTGAGGCTAGCCCATGTCATAGCTCAGGGCAACCTAGATCCCACTCACTGGGGAGACTCCGGGCTGGAGGGCAGCATTTGAAGGCCACGGGAACAAGTGATGGTGCCAGGTTCCTGACCCCAGGCAGACCCAGTCCCCCCTTTTCCTGAGGGGCGCATGGCAGACAGCTCTAAGGGACAGCACACACCTCCTCTCCTCTTTACAAAACGAACACTGCTGGGCCCCAGCCCCCATGGGGTCTCTGAGCTGCTTGTCAGTCAATAACCATGGGTGCATCCTGTTTTCTAGTCCCGGCCTTGCCCCACTGGCATCAACCTCTAATTATGAAAACACGAACTCTTACACCTGGGTTTCTCCACTGTGCTGTAAGTCTGTATATAAAGCTGTTCCATCCTTGCAACACACACACACACACACACACACACACACACACACACACACACACACACACACACTGGAGCATTCTCTTAGCACAAACGGTTGAACGTCTTTCATTTAAATCTCCAGACTTTTGCCCGATACCTTAGGCCTGGCAAGATTTCTCCGAACATAAAAGCCTGAGCTTGATCTCTGCGACCTACACAGGAGTCGAAAATGACCCCTGCAATGGTCTCTGGCCTCTCCACGTGTGCACACACATGCATATGCATGCACACACACTCACACAGCAAATAACGAACTAGCTACATTGCCCATCAAACCCATTTCTTAACCAAAATGGCTGGCTTCCACATTGCATTTTGTTTATGGTTTCTAACAGAAACAGTACTGTTGGGGGCTGACTGCTGACCTCCCATTTAAACCCACTCAGTAAGGGACAGCACAGCTAGCAGGGCTTCTGTGACATCTCTGCACTCTGCCCTCCATACGCTAGATGCTCACATGCTTCATGCACTTTCAGAGCCTCTCCTTCCTTCCTTCGTATGTTTCCTGTGGGCCTACTATGTGCAGTATGCTAGGTGCTGGGGTAAAGCAGGAGTGACACCAAGCATGGGAGACAGACTTCTGTTTATTGAGACATGGGGGAGGAAACACGGAGCAGGAAACAGTCAGAAAAGGACTCCCTAAAAAGGACAGCTGAACCGGGCGTTGGTGGCACACGCCTTTAGTCCCAGCACTCGGGAGGCAGAGGCAGGCAGATCTCTGTGAGTTCGAGACCAGCCTGGTCTACAGAGCGAGTTCCAGGACAGCCTCCAAGACAATACGGAGAAACCCTGTCTCAAAAAACAAACACAAAAACCAAAAACGGACAGCTGAGTGGAAGTAGGAGCTGATGATGATGAGAGCAAACGTCCTGCGTGTGCTCCAGCTCGCAGAGGGGCCGGGCAGGGCAGAAGCCAGGTCGCTGGGCCCTTCACAGAGTCGCTTGGGTGGGTGGGGCAGGGAATGGCCTCTTGGGTCCATTGTCACTGGAAAGAGAACAGCCTAGCTGAAGATGGTGGACAGGAAGAATGGCTGGACATGATGGCATTGCCAGCTCTGGGCAGGCGGGGCCACTGCTCACCTAGTGCTCCACTTGTGAGCGCCTGGACAGAGGACAACGTGGACCTAGGACCTGTGACTCAGGCCTTCTCTTCTGAGCATGCTCCCACGGGCGGCACACAGTGCAGCCAGGAGTGGCCACTCCAGCGTCCCCTCGTCTCACGCCATCTTCCTCACACGCCAGCTCCAAGTCCTTTATAATCTTCCCACCCCTCCCGGAGGACACTGCTAGTTCCCTGCCTTCGTGGTAGCCCTTGGTCTCATCTCAGAGGGACTGTCACTCTGACTCTGTGGTGGTTTGAGTAGGCGTGGCCTCCACAGACTCATGTGTTCCAATGCTTGGCCACAGGGAGTGGCACTATTAGGAGGTGTGGCCTTGCTGGAGTGGGTGTGGCTTTGTCGGAGGCGTGTCACTAGAGGGTAGGCTTTGAGGTCCTAGAAGCCCAAGCCTGGCCAGTGTAACACAGCCTCTTCCTGCTGCCTGCAGACCCCGATGTAGAGCTGTCGGCGCCTGCAGCACCGCGTCTGTCTGTGCACCGCCATGCTTCCCGCCATGGTGACAACGGACTGGACCTCTGAGCTGTAAGCCAGCCCCAGCTGAAGGCTTTCCTTTGTAAGAGTTGCCGCCGTGGTCACAGTGTCTCTGCACGGCCACAGCGACCCTGACTAAGACAGCCTCCCACACCTTCTGTGCTGCCTCCCTTCCCCAAACCACGCTCCACGTCTGAGGGTCAGAGGACCGTGTCTCTTCACAAATTTAAGTGCCTTGGTGCTTATGGTGGCGGCATACAAGGTTCAACAGGACGCAACCATGCCCAGCCCTCTAGGTGGCCCGTTTCCCTCCCCGTGCCTGACAGTGCAGAGGGCTGGGGGAGGCTATGACGACACTTCTGACGCCCCGGCACAGGTGGATGGACGCTCTGGGGGAGAGGGTGCGGAGGGTCTGGCTGCTGGAAGCCTCTGTCGGGTGCTGAGGCTGAGGGAGATCCCATTGGCAGTCAGCAGTGAGGCACAGCCTGGAACTCTGGCCACCCACTCTGTTCAGAGCTCGGTGGGGCTTCCTCCAGGCCCCGCCCTATTCCACTCTTGGGGGAGTGATCCAGTGTGGGGGTTCATCACCACTGCCAATGTGTCTGGATTTGGAAGCACCTAGAAGACACACCTGGGGCATGCCTGTGAGGTTGTTTCCCGGGGAGAATGACGCACCCTGAATGCGTGTGTGTGTGTGTGTGTGTGTGTGTGTGTGTGTGTGTGTGTCCCCAGACTGAATAAAAAGGAAAAAACAAAAACAAAAAACCAGGAGGAAGCCGGCCACGCTGCAGCTGCCCCCCCGCCTCCACGGCTTCCCTGCAGGAGGAATGTATCCCCTCCAACAGTGAGCCGAAACCAACCCCGCTAGCCTCACATGGCTTTTCTGAGGCCCTTGATCGCCACGGGGACGACGACTAAGACACCTTGCATAATACACCCCACATAACGTACGTCCCTCATAGGAAGCTTTACACAGAACTCCCCACGAACGGCCGTGGGCGGACCACCTACCCTTCATCGGATGGACCCAGGGTAGGACCTCACCAGGCAGTGAGGTCGGTTCACGGAGCTGCCCCGGGGCCCCGTGAGGAGTGGCCGCTGCCTGACTGGGGCGTGGATCTGCTACCGCTGTGCTGCAGCCAGTGCCTGGGCCCGCCTCACCTCCCAGCTCTCCTGCTTGTGCCTCTCCAGGCTGCGGATCCTCAGCAGGTTTTTCTCTTGCGCTGTGAGCTTCCGCGGGTCTGAACTGACAGGCAGCTCGGAGCTCGGGCAGTCTGCCGTCCTGTTCTGATGCTGCCCCAGCTGCTTCTCGAGCTCTCGGACCTGAGGACAGTAAAGCTGGCTGTCCCACCAGTCCACAACCAAGGGTCCTTCCACTTGGGGGCCTGGGAAGATGCTGCCAGAATGAAAATGGAGCCGCCCTTCCAGGGTGTGGTGTAGGATGGGCCCAGCTAGGAAGGTTTTCTGCAAATGGAGACACTGCCCAAGGGATTTAGGGAAGAGAAGATTCTTGGCCAACGAGAAACTTCCCTTCCTCGTGACTGTTCCCCCTTCAGGAAAATGCGCCTGCCCGAGGGTACATTCTGCAATCTGCTGTAAGGACGACTTAGCACCCCGACCCACCTGAGCCTGCCACCCCCGAAGTTCTTACAGGAATGACAAGTCTTAAGAGTTTACTCCAGACCAAAATGCAGGGCTCTGGGGGCAGGAAGGGCCTGGAAGTCATATTTTAACAAAAGCCACTGGTGATTTTTTTCTTAAATATTCATTTTTATTAAAAAAATTTAAAACTCATAGGAATTGTACAAAACAGTGCATTTCTCTGCGATACTTACTGCCTTACATTTGGAGCCTTGTCTGAACCACACCCACCCTGGTTTTCTTCTGATTGTCCACCTCCTCCATGTAATTAAAAAAAAATCCCCTGACAGAAAACATGATACATTTGCCTCTCTGAGTGTGGCTTGTTTTACTATACATAACAATCTCCGGTGCTATTCTTTTTCCTGCAAATACCATACTTCTGCTTTTTATTTATGGCTAAAACGCCACTGTTCATGCCGTATCTCTCTCCTTTCAAGCTCCACTGAGTCTGTGCTTCAGGCGCTGCTGGGCACCCAGACTGTCTGGGACCTCTGTGTGCTCGCCCGACTCCTCAGAGTATATATCCGGGTGATAGCGCTTGGGCGTCCGTTTGTGAAGTCCCTCCATACGGACTTCCACGGTGGCTGTGCAATGCTCCCTTTCCCACGTCCTCACCCGCATATGTCACTGTCTTCATGGCTGGGCTCCTAACTAAAAGGGATGGAATCCTAATGTAGTTTTGACTTGTATTTCTCTAAGGCTAAGGATGTCGACTACTTAAATCGTGTTTGTGGGAGCGAGGGGGGTGGCTCAGTGGGTAGAGCACTTGCCAGGCAAGTGTCCACACAGAAGGCAAGGCAGGCATGGTGGCCTGTCTGTAATCCCAGCACTTGAGACACAGAGACAAGGAACCCTAGGACAAGCTGGCTCGCTAGACTAGCTGAGTCCTTGAGCTCTGGGTTTAGCAAGAGGCACTGGCTTCAGTAGATGGAAACACCTCGTGTCTACTCTGGCCTCTATACATGTGTGTGTGTGTGTACGTGCACACACGAACACACACACAGGCACACAGCCACACACACACAGCCATACACACAAACACACGAACACACACACAGGAACACAGGAACACAGGCACACACAGACACACACACACACACACACACACACACAGGAACACAGGCACACGGGCGCGCGCACACACACACACATAGGAACACACACAGGAACACAGGCACACACACACACACACACACACCGGTACACACACATGCATACACACACACAGGGCACACACAAATAGGAACACACACAGGAACACAGGCACACACGCATACACACACGGGTACACACACAGGCACACACACACACACACATTGTTAACCATTCGCATTTCTTAAAAATGAGTTGCTTATTTGTTTGCTGAGGTGTCTGAGCTCCTTCTGTATTCTGGATATTAATACTAAGAGCAGCAGCTGGCAGAGACGGCCTCGCTCTGCCGCTGGTCTCCATGCCGCTGGCTGTTCCATTCACCCGTCCTTGGCCGTCTGAGATGTGACCCTATCAGTTCTGGCCTTCGTGCCCCCTGCTACCGGATCCTAGTCAGGCCTGCACTTTGTCTGCTTCTCCTCGAGCATTTTCAGGGTTTTAGGTCTCGCACTGATGTCGTCTCTGATACATTTTGAGCTAATTTTACAGGGTGAGCTAGGGCCTAGTTTAATCCTAAGTAGAGAGCCGGCTTCACAGCACCATGCTAAGGGCAGTCTCCTCTAGGGTGTGTCTCTTACGCAAGCATCAACGAGGTCAGGCATGTGAGGCACTGAGGCACTGCAGAAGGACACTAGGGACACACCCCACGTGAAAGCTAGGGACACACCCTATGTGGAAGCGTCACTAATACCCAGCCTCAGGGCTCTGACGGCCGATCTGCTAGGCTGCTGTGCTGGGGACTCCAAAGGTGAGGAGACTTGCTCACGCTTCTAGGGCCCCAAAGTTTTGGGGGTCTGTTCTCCTTCATGCTGGCTTCAAGGATTTCACAAAAGATCCTAAGGAAAAAGCCACCCAAAGAGGATGGCATTCCCCGATGCCTGGGAATGCAGGTGGCATGCTCCAGGGATTGACAGAATCACACGTCTTCCACAAGCTTCTCGGTCTAAGGCCAAAATGAGGGTGCTGGTGGGTGGGGCAGGAAGCCCTGGCTAACCACTGCTGGGCACTCCCTCCAGGATGGCGTTGTACTGAGGGCATCCACCCCCACACACTCTGCCTCAGCCATTTCTGCCAATAGCCCAAGGGTTGTTCCCATTACAGAGATGTGTAAACTGAGGCAGAGACAGCCACTTGTGTGGTGAGGGGAGTGCTGGCGTATGAACTCAAGCCAGTCAGCTTTGGAGCTGCTGCTCTTAACTTCCTTTGGTGTGTGCCAAAATACTTTGAAAACGAAAGGGGAGAAAAGCTGCTGTATTTTGAAAGTTTGAAAGTCACCAAAAACTTTCCGAAGGACTGCAGGCCACCATCACAGCAGTCACGCAAATTCATACAAAACTCGGGGAAAACACGCCTGCAGAGAAGGAAACCACACTCAAGGCCGCTGGTTAAGAGCCGGGGCCAGACATGTGAAAAGCATGAGGTAACCCGTGTGCGTGCAGTAACAAAGGAACATCAGGCCGGAGGAGCATGTGAGCTCTCCACTCGGCAAGCGCATGCTGTGGGACCCACATAGCATGGAAAAATAAAAGGCCCAGAGACTGATACTGGGGTCCAAGCTTCCAGCTGAAGGTCAGAAAAGCAAAGCAGAGCTACCTCAGGCTGAATGGGCTGATCCTGTCTCCACGAGCTCTCACCAAGCCTCAGACTGTGACCTCTCCTCAGCGTGTCTGGAGAATGAATGCCTCCACTGAATACTCAAGACCCTGCTTCACTTCTTTTTTCTTTCTTTTTTTGTTTTTGTTTTGTTTTTTGAGGCAGGGTTTCTCTGTATTGTTTTGGAGGCTGTCCTGGAACTCACTCTGTAGACCAGGCTGGCCTTGAACTCACAGAGATCCGCCTGCCTCTGCCTCCCGAGTGCTGGGGTTAAAGGCGTGAGCTCTGTTTTTCTTTCATAGTGATTCAATCTCGTGTATCCCTGGGTGGCCTTGAACTCAGAGAGATCCATCTACCTCTTAATCCTGACTCCTAGGATTAAAGCTTCTGGCTGCTGGGATTAAAGACGTGCGTCACCACTGCCTGATCTCTCTAACTTGAGGCTGACTTTGCTTTTCTGAATCCTCAGGCAAGTTTTAATAAACCACAAATAATATATCGCCACAGTGTCTCGTCTGCTCCAGACTCTAAGGAGGGCCAGGGTGGTGTTTTTTTTTTGGGGGGGGGGCACGTCAGGCCTTCTGCTCAGGGCCAGGGATGTCTGGAGACTCACTCACTCACCTTGCTCTGTAGAACTAGGATCTGTTGAGCCCGCCCCCTCCAGGTCCCTGGTGAGGCCAGGAGCTGCTGGATATTTACATCGTCCCCAACTTCATTGGCCAGAACCTGAAATAAAGCAAGGTGCTCAGTGTGGACAGGAGAGGCAGCCCAGGCCTTTCTCGCCGCTGTGTGGGACTCAGAGCTGCTGTGGGGTTCCTGGTGGCCGGCTCCGTCTGCACGACCTTCCTCACACCTCTGAGCTCTGCGGTCAGCTTGGCCTGGGGAGGTGGCAAGCCCTTGTCTGCGACACGGCCCATCAAGGCCTGCTTCCTTCACCGCTCGCCTGGTATCACAGAATTCTGGTTGGCTGAGGAAGCACACTGCCACGGGGCCTGGCCCTGTGTGACAGCCACTGCCAAGCGTCTCTTGGAAACATAGAGGAATCAAATGAGGCTCTTGTGCCTCCTCAGGTAGGCCTGACTCTGTGGCCACCAGAGTTGTACGAAGCTAGGCCTACCCTCAAGGCTTTGAGGTAGGCCCGATACCCTCCGTATGTCACCAAGCTGATCCCCGTCCAGCAGGCTGGCTCTCTGGCCCTTGTTCCCACAACACAACACTGTTTTGGAACTCTTGGCCAGTCTGAGTGGTCCCAGCAAGGAGGAGATGAACCAGGGAAAGTGCTACGTCAATACCAACAGCTCAAACCAGCCGTCCCTTGGGACCCACAGGCTACACCTGAGCATTTCCTTTGAAAGGAGCTTTTAAGGCACAAATTCCCCATCCATTTTCTACACTGCTGGCCACAGAGGGTAGCAGGTGGGTCAGGAAACCTTTTGAGTCACAGGCAAGGCAGTATACTGAGTGGAAACCTCGGGTCTACCAAGGTAAAGGACAAGTTGCGGGGGAGGTCATGGAAGGCTCCCAGGCCCCTCCCTTGTGGGCAGAACTAATCTCCCCAGTCCATGGGCAGCCCCAGCTAGCCAGCCACCCCAGCCACCCCAGCCACCCTGCCCCCCTGACCCAGCACAAGCAGGAGCGAGCACCCTGCTTCGGAAGAGAAGGCAGTGGACTGTTGGGAGTTTCCTGGGACCAACCCTGGCCACATAAGAAGTCCCACACCCTGACTCTGGAAGACCTTCTGGGCCACACGGAGTTCCTGCTTTGCAGCCTGGATCTGGTTGCGCAGGTCACTCATCTTCAGGTTGGTAGCTGCAAGCCTTTCCTGTAGAGCTTTTACCTCGGGGGTCTCCAGCTGGTTGGGAAGGACAGAGAGAAAGTAGTCACTTGTGGCCTAAGTGCTAATGACAATCAGGTTTTGGTTTAGGTCTGTTCCAGGCATGGGGCAAGGGCTGGGGTCCTCAGAAATTCCCAGCCCCTTGAGATGCGAAGCAGAGGTGGGTGGGAAGCAAGTCGTGTCTCTCTCTCTCTCTCTCTCTCTCTCTCTCTCTCTCTCTCTCTCTCTCTCTCTCACACACACACACACACACACACAGAGCCACGCGCATGGCCAAGGCAGAAGCGTCTAGAGGAGGCAGCCGGTTCCACACTTCCTAGATACTCCTGGGTGTGGCCCCCTCTGCTGTGCCCAGACCCAGGCTGTGCTAAGAGCATCCTCCTTCCATCTCTGCGGAAAGCTACACCAGCTCAGCAGGCACATTCTGACCCCTAACTTGGGGCCTCCTCTTCTGCAGCTGCAGTTGTCAGTACATGCCGTGACTCTGCCAGCAGAGTGGGGTGCTGTGTGTTTGCTTTAACAAAAATAAGGCTTAAAACAACAACCCTGAAAGACACGGGCTGAGACTCAGGGATGTCCGCTTTTCCCTCTTCTCTTAAAAAAAAGAATGTCTGAACTGGGCACATGCCTTTGATCCCAGCACTCAGGAGGCAGAGGCAGGCAGATCTCTGTGAGTTCAAGGTCAGCATGGTCTACATAGCAAGTTCTAGGACACCCAGGGCTACACAGTGAGGCCCTGTCTCAATGATACGGTGTTTGAGGCAAATCTTGGAAATAAATGACTAATATACTGCCTGTGTGTTCTGCTCAGAGGTTATGAGCACTGAGGTTAAGAGCACTGGCTGGTCTTCCAAAGGACTTGGGTTCAATTCCCAGCACCCAAGTGGCAGCTCCCAACTGTCTGTAACTCTAGTTCCAGGACATCCTACACTCTCACACAGACATACAAGCAGGAAAAACAACAGCACACATAAAAATAAGTGAAATATATATGTGTACACACACACACACACACACTCTGTCTCAGTAGATATTCCTGGGACTCCATGATCAAGCATCAAAGTCCTCCCACTGGTGATGAGAGTCAAGTCTGGAGAGCACAGAGGGGAGCTGGCCGGCACAGGGTTGGGGATAGCACAGGGGGATTAGAACCCTGGTCCTTCTGCTGTTCTGCCCATGTCTCCCAATCTGAGCTTCTGCTGCAGACCCTGCTACAGACTGTCGTGGCAACAGTGAGGTCGTTAGCAAGCTAAGTACCCATCAGGCCATGCTGGGACTCCTGCCCCAGTGGACCAGGGGTTTGGGCTTTGGGGAAGCAGGGTGTCCGTAATGTGTGGCTGCTTTCTTTAGCAGGCACCAACAAAAACTCCTGTAGGTGCTAGCATGAAAGAAATGCTCAACAGACCAAGTCTACAGACGTCCATGGGACTTGGGACAGCCTACTGAAAAGCAGTAGTGAAAGAAATTAGGCCTGGCTGGGTGGTGGTGGCACATGCCTTTAATCCCAGCACTCCGGAGGCAGAGGCAGGTGAATCCCTGTGAGTTCAAGACCAACCCTGGTCTACCAAGCAAGTTCCAGGACTGGCTCCAAAACAATACAGAGAAACCCTGTCTCAAACAAACAAAAAAAAAAAAAAAAGGAAGAAAAGAAAAAGAAAAAAGAAATTAGCCCTGACCATGGGGTTCAGGAGTCCTGACTGCATTTAACACCACTGCCAGGATAAAAGTGAGAAATCAATTGGACAATATTTGCCGAGTGCAGAATGGCACAGAGTACAAACAGACCCTGAAAGACTTCGCATCCGCTTCCCTTGTGGCTGCCACGCCCCCTTCTGCTGCGGGCGCCTGTCTTCTCTCCAGCAGCATGCGTCTTTAAATATGCCCTGGGCTGAGAAGCAGCGGCCTCCCCAGGAGCCCTGTTTTGGGGACTGGGGGAGCACATGAGCGCCCTGTACCTCTGGGATCGGGCAGCGTCATGGGAGGCTGTTCAGAGCATGAGCAGAACTCGCAGGACACAACTGGGTCTAGAGCTGGGTAGTGATGCCCACTCCAGGCCTCGGCTCCTCATCACACACAGGTGCTCAGTGCTTGACCTCGGGTGCCTGCGAGTCCCACGAGAGGCTTGGGTGGGCCGCTGATAAGGGACTGAGTCGAGACGGCATTCTGGAGTGGCCGGGGAGCGGGGCCCAGTCTCCCTCGGCCACCACAGGCTTTGCCCTGGCCCCCAGCGCAGGCTGTTTCCTTTGAAGGAACAGCCGCAGGGCCCGGGCTCCAGCACTGCCCACTGGGCACGGCACAACCTTCTGGAAGGCCTCTGGGCCCACTCTTCTCAGGGACCCAGGCTGCTCAGGCTGCTTACAGAAGCCACCCGAGAGCTCTGCTCCAGCGGCCACTCACGAGCCCCGCCCGGGGTGCCCCAGCCTGTCTTCTGTTGGTTCATGTCCTCTTCCTGCTGTGGGTGCTGGGCTCAAACAAAATGCCATCCAGGCAGCACCCAGGCGAGCCAGCGGTGTAGAGTGCTCTGGCTCCCAGCCTCTACGCCTTGAAGGCGCCGCTCCTCGTGGGAGGCTGTCACCACCCACTTCTCCACAGCACGCTACAGGGGCGCCTTCTCCACCCACCAGCCCACAGCCGAGGGTGAGCTCCTGTTGCCAGCCCAGGCCTGGGCTGTTTCTGAAGGCCCATCCCACCCTCATGACACGGCTGCTCCGCTTCCTCTTAGACCCCTCTGTGGACAGAGGCCAGGTTTGGATTCCTGTGGGAGGGCGCAGACAATCCTATCAGACTAACGAGAGACCCAGCAATGCTGCCCAGGGTGACTCAAGTGGAGGACCTCGGTGGCCTGGATAAAGTCAGGAACAGGTTGGCAGAATGGGTAGGGAAGAACATTGTCCCCTCAACCCAGAGCACAGTGGCTGCCTCCCCAGCGGAGACACTGGTTTAGCATTCATCCCCACGCCCCAAGGGGCCCATGGCCGCACACCAGGACTGAGTGTCTCTCAAGAGCAGCAAGCGGTGGCCTGATCCTGAGGCGTGAACAAGAGGCAGAAGGAGCACTGAACCGGGAGTCCTGGGGCTTGCCCCCCTCCCCGTCACAGCTGCTCTGGCTTCCTGAGAAACTGCTGGAGTGGCTGCTGGGACACTCTGGAGACTCTGGGCTCTGCACCCCTGGGAAACCATATGTGGCCTGATCAGCTTGATTTACCTTTTCATGGAGCTACATTCACTTGGCCTGCCTACCTTTCCTTTCTCTTTTTGGCTTTTTTGAGACAAGGTTTCTGTCTGTGTAGCCCTGGCTGTCCTGGAACTCGCCCTGTAGACCAGGCTGGCCTCAGACTCACAGAGATCCGCCTGCCTCTGCCTCCCGAGTGCTGGGAATAAAGGTGTGCGCCACCGCCACCTGGCACAAGGATGGCCTACATGTTGGGGCCTGTTCATTAGCTAAAATCCGGACGGGTCTGGAGAAGGAATCTGGAAATCTGCAGGGCGGCACAGGGCCCCCAACACTGCAGTGTCTTGTAAAGAATGGGGCTCCAGGGGCAGTGGGGGGCTCATCTGGTCACGGGAAGCCTGAGGACCTGGAGTCCGCCCCCAGCGCCCACACAGAGAGCTGCTAACACCAGTGCTGGGGAGGCAGAGACAGGAGGGTCAGGTCTCATCCGGTTGGACACTTCAACCAGGCAGCGTGAGAGACCCTGTCTCAAAGGAGTGGCTGGTGTTCCTGAGGACGGCCCCTGAGGTGTCCTCTGGCCTCCACGTGTATAAATGCACATGTGCACACCCGTGCATTCCCACACACATGACACATACTCACACATACAAATTGAAGGGTTGGGGGGGAACACAACTTCTCTGAGCAGCTGGGAGCAAACCTGCCACCTGGGTAAGGTTTTGTGGGTGTCTCCCCGTGAGGAGACTACAGAGGAGATGGCCACCTGGGCGCAGGCAGCTACGCAGACTGTCCTTCCCTTGGCCTTGTGTCCCCAGGGCTTGAAGGCCCTGACTCTACCAGTTTTCCCCCAACCCCATGGAAACTGGCTCAGAGCTGGGCATCCCCTTGTGTCTGCCAGGCGTCCTGGCCACAGGGCATAGACAGGGCTCTGAGGAGGCCGCAATGGCAGACAAGAGCTCTCGGCTGAGCAATGGGTGGGGAACATGGCAGAAACCTGAGCACCCACTGGGGGAGGGGGAGGCCCAGGTGACGGCTACCTCACAGACTCAGCACAGAGAACTCGTACCAAGGCTCTGTCTCCCGTCTGGGTCCTCAGTGACTTGGTCCCTGTGTCAGTGGTCCCCTTGGCTGGCTGCCTGGCTGGTGCCATCTGCAGCTGAGAAGCAAACCTGGTGTTAGTACTTGGTTCTGCCCAGCAGCTGCACAGCCACTGAAGGACCTGATGCTGCTGCTGCTGCTGGGTGTGTGCCCCGCCCTAGTGTCTGAGCCCTGGCTCACCCGTAGACCACCAACGGAAGGAATGCTCCTTTCCAAGCTACCTGTGACTGAGAGGTTTGACTGGCCGGCAGCCCTGCTCCCTAGTTGCCCTGAAAGTGCAGCCCGCTGATAAATAAGCAGGGCACACCACACTGTGTGGTGGTTTGGATGGAGATGGCCCCCATAGATGAATAGGGAAGGGCACTATTGGGAGGTGTGGCCTGTGTGTCACTGCCGGGGGCGGGGGCGGGGGCGGGGGCGGGGGTGGGGGGCAGGGTGGTGTGTGTCACTGTGGGGGTAGGGGAGGGCTTTGAGGTTTCAGAAGCTCAAGCCAGGCCCAGTGTCACTCTCTCTTCCTTGCTTGTGGATCCAGATGCAGGACTCTCATCCCCTCTCCAGCACCGTGTCTGCCTGCACGCCGCCACGCCTCCCGCCATGACAATAATGGACTAAACCTCTGAAACTGTAAGCCAGCCCCAATTAGACGTTTTCCTTTATAAAAGTTGCCATGGCCATGGTGTCTCTTCATGGGAATGGAAATCCTACGACATTCACTCAGCCGAGGAGACAGATAATAAAGGTAGCGTAGGCTTGGGCTACTCGGGTGACCAAGGCGTCTACCAACCACATGTGGCCACACTGATTTGGGGCATGGCTTCCTCTCACATCCCCGATGCTGTCCCGTTCAGCGCTCGGCCATGCTGGTCGCCCATGCTTCCTCCCCACTCTGCACTCTGAACCCTGTCCATGGATGCTGCTCCCACGGTGTTTGGCTGGCTGGGCCTGCCGGGCACGCCCCTTCAAGCGCTGCCCACTGATGCCTGTCAGGGAGTCGCTCTCTTTTCCTGTGCCAGATGCCCATGTGGCTCCCTCTCCAGTGGAACCATCCATGCCTACTCTATTTTCTCCAGTGTGTGGCACAGAACCTGAGCCAAATCTCTAGACATACGTCCCAGAATGAAGAAGCTCGTGCTCAGTGTGAGGGCCAGGATGGGTCGTGCGGGGTCTCAGAACTAGACTTCAGGACCAGGAAAGACTACGACGGCTCCCTCCAGCCCGAGGACCCCACCTCACACATAAGGAGCCAGAACCGCCGGGTTGAAGCAGGGTTTGTGCTCAGCTGGGAGGGAGGGGACAGCAAAAACGGACAGACAGGACACAGCAGGGCCATGGCTCCTGGCTGTGACAGCTTCAGATGAGCAGGGGTTTCTGCACACGGGTTGAGCTGTGTTTACTGGTGCTTTCCACATGCCAGGCTCCCTTCTAAGGGCTGCACTGGGGCTACCCGCTGGGGGAAACTGAGATACGGAGTTCGGGGCCTGCTAGCAGCTTCAGATGGGGCTCCATGTCCATCGCCCTAAGCCACGCCAAGCCAGGCTTCTTCTCAACCGCCAGTGTCCCCTAGCTGCCTGCCTGTCACACTCCCCTCTGGATGTGGCAGAAACGGGACTCACTGCACACACTGCCCTGTGACCTCCCAGTGCGGTCTCTCTCTGGAGCCCCTCCCGAGGGAGAGCAGCCCAGGCCCTTACTTCATGCTCCAGCTCCTGGATGCGATTGGTCAGCTGCTTTACCCTGACCTTGGCGCTCTCTGACTCTGCCATCAGCCCCCGGTTCTTTTTGGACAGTTCAACGATTTTGGTGGCAACTAGATCTCCAGCCATCCCAGTTGCCCCTAAAATGACAGAAACGACAAAGTCCATTAAAAATACAACCTGTCGGCACCTCAAATCTACATGGCTGTTCAGAGTTGAGCAGGGCCTCCAGGAAGTCACGGCCTCCAGCAGGTAAAGAAACGGCACTTCAGGGCTGGAGAGATGGCTGGGAGGTTAAGAGCACTGACTGCTCTTCCAGAGGACCTGAGTTCAATTCCCAGCAAGCACACAGTGGCTCACAACCATCTGCAATGAGATCTGGCGCCCTCTTCTGGCATGTAGGCATAATAAATAAATATTAAAAGAAAAAAGAAAGAAACGGCGCCTCAGCTGAGTTTGGGGAAAGGCGTAGCGTGCACACCCATGTTTCTCACAGGACACAGCCGTGTGGAGGAGGGTTCTAGAGGGAAACAACCGACAACTCCCCAGAGAAGAACAGGAATGACCCAGGGATGCTCTTCCTGGGGGCGAATTTCCCTGTGGGACTCAAATGCAACAACAAAGCCCACTATTAGTTACCAGAAGACTAGGAGAGCGGTGCATGTGTGTGTGTGTGTGTGTGGTACGTGCGTGCCTGTGTATGTGTATGTGCATGTGTGCATGCCTGTGTATGTGTATGTGCATGCGTGTGTGCATGTGTGTGTGTGTATGGCGTGTGTGTGTGTGTGTGTGTGTGTGTGTATGGTGTGTGCGTGCGTGTGTGACAATCCTTTCCCCACCTTCCCCAGCCCTTCCTCCTGCACAGCCTTGCTCCACCCTGAAGCTGCAACCCTGGGATGAACGTGGCAGTGCCTCAGCGATGACCATGAGTCTTCCACACAGGTGGTGAAGTACACATAAAAGCCACATGGGGGTTCACGTCTGCAATCCCTGAATCCCTGCACTTGGGAGGTGCAGACCAAACCATCAAGAGTTCAAGACCTGTTCTTTTTTTTTTTGAGGATTCTCCCCCCCCTTTTTTAAATTTAAATTAGAAACAAGCTTCTTTCACATGTCAATCCCAGTTTCCTCTCTCTCCTCTCGTCCCCTGCCCCCCACTGACCCCCTATCCCATCCCCTTTCTGCTCCTCAGAGAGGGTGAGGCCTTCCATGGGGGATCTTTAAAGTCTGTCATATCATTTGGGTCAGGATCTAGGCCCTCCCCTGTGTATCTAGGCCGAGAGAGTATCCCTCTGTGTGGAGTGGACTCCCAAAGTCCATTTGTGCACTAGGGATAAATACTGATCCACTGCCAGAGGCTCCATAGATTAACCAGACCTCCAAACTGACACCCTCATTCAGGGGGTCTGGAACAGTTCTATGCTGGTTTCCCAGCTGTCAGTCTGGGGTCCGTGAGCTCCCCCTTGTTCAGGTCAGCTGTTTCTGTGGGTTTCTCCAGCCTGGTCTTGACCCCTTTGCTCATCACTCCTCCCTCTCTATAACTGGATTCCAGAGTTCAGCTCAGTGTTTAGCTGTGGGTGTCTGCTTCTGCTTCCATCAGCTACTGAATAAAGGCTCTAGGATGGCATATAAGGTAGTCATCAATCTCATTATTGCGGAAGGGCATTTAAGGTACTCTCTCCAATATTGCTTAGATTGTTAGTTGGGGTCAATCTTGTAGATCTCTGGACATTTCCCTAGTGCCAGATTTCTCTTTAAACCTATAATGGCTCCCTATATTATGGTATCCCTTTTCTTGCTCTCCTCTATTCCTTTTTTAAAATATTTTATTTATTTATTGTGTATACAGCCTTCTGCCTGCATGCCAGCGGAGGGCACCAGATCTCATTACAGATGACTGTGAGCCACCATGTGGTTGCTGGGAATTGAACTCAGGACCTCTGGAAGAACAGTCAGTGTTCTTAAGCTCTGAGTCATCTCTCCAGCCGGCTCTCCTTTATTCTTCCCCTGACACTTCCTGCTCCCTCATGTCCTCCTCTCCCCTCCTCTTCTCCCCTTCTCTTTCTCCTAACTCCCTCTTCCCTCCCCCATGCTCCCAATTAGCTCAGGAGATCTTGTCCCTTTCCAGGTGATCACGTATGTCTGTCTTAGGATCCTCTCAAGAACCGTTTTAGCCACAACGAGTATAGCCTGTGTCACATGAGATCTTGTCTGGAAAAGAGAAACCCCACCCATTTGTAATATGGAAACGCAGAGGGTCTTGGATGGTGTCAACATTTCTACAGCCTCGGCAGGTGGGGACAGGAATCTAACTGGAGCGCGGCGTGGTTCTAAGTTAAACAAGAAATGGGTCTGTGCCTGGTGTGTTAGTAACCCAAGCACTGAGGAGGCTGGGGAAGGGTCCCAAGCCTGGGACAGCCTGAGCTGAGGGGAGGGGGCAGGAGAAAAGAAGGAGGGAGAGAAGGAGGGGAGAAAAACCAGACAAACAAGGCCAGCCACGGGGCCAAGATGACCCCAAGACCTCACACCTCTGGTGCCAGAATCTCCACTAACAGAAGCAAGGATCAAAGTGTAGCCCAGGCCTACAGGGCCTAGCAGCTGCCGAAGGTGGCACGCACCTGTACAGGGTGTTTGGGTCCCGGAACCTTCCTTGGCACACGGCAGTTGCCGGTAACATCCAAGCCAAGGGTCAACGAGAAACAGACCCCGCCAGCGACCCCACAGACCACCGTGACCATGTGACCCTTGCACTGCTCTCTGGAGCCTATGCGGCAGCTGTGCCCACTGCCTGGAGTGCACAGCTGTGGCGGAGTTACCTGTGAAGGCAAACCTGTCTTCTTCTATTTTCTTCTTGAGGTGTTTGATCTCAAAGTCCCTCTCCTTCAGCAGTTTGTACAGCCGCCCGTTCTCATCGACTGTCTCCCTGAGTTCACTACGAAGCTTCTGGATTTCATCTTCCAGCACCCTGCAAGGGAAAGGTAGACCCTACTGCTTCTCAGAGGCACTGACCCGCGCCCAGGATCCCGCTTCCTGCTGAGGCATGCGGTACCATGTTTGGGCACTAGAGGGCACTAAGACGTTGTCTGTACAGAATAAGACTGAAAAGTAATTAGGTGATTTAAGTGTGGTTGTGCCTTGTGAGAAGGCGTGTTTCTTTATAGGTGTTGTGTAAAAACTCTCATTGTGTGTGTTTGTGAGCATCTGTGTCCATGTGTACGGGTGAATTTGTGTGTGTGTACAGTCTGAAGCCAGCAAAAATAGATTCTGAGCAAAGCTAGGAGCAGAGGCAGCTCATCATGGCTGTGGCCTTCAGCACAAGGCTGGCAGGAGTGCCACATCAGCCTCGTACATCAGTGTGCACCAGGGGCTGCCAGGTCCAGAGCAGCGAGAACACGCTGGATGTCCCCCCAAAGAAAAGGAGGGAATCCGGGATCTGCATCGCGTCAGAGCATGGAGGTTCGCGTGCTGCTGCCTCTCGGGTGTGTGGGAGCACTGGCAGAGGGGAACTACCAACCCCACCCCATCCCTTGGAAACACGGGCTTCAGCCCAGTGACTGTAAAAAATCCAGCCAAATACACCAGCCCTGAGGAGTTTACCGTCCTTCCATCTGGTATTAAGTACGCCACCTAGCAGCTACAGGAGACCTCAGCCATCAGTGCCAAACTCACTTTGAGCCTACGAGCAGTTGCCCAGTTGAATTAGTTCTCTATCTTCCTTCCTTACTTCCTTCCTTCCTTCCTTCCTTCCTCCCTTCCTTCCTTCCTCCCTCTCCTCCACCCCTCCCTCTCTGTCCACCCCTCCCTCTCCTCCACCCCTCCCTCTCTCCATCCCTCCCTCTCCTCCATCCCTCCCTCTCTCCACCCCTCCCTCTCTCCATCCCTCCCTCTCTCCATCCCTCCCTCTCTCCATCCCTCCCTCTCTCCATCCCTCCCTCTCTCCATCCCTCCCTCTCTCCATCCCTCCCTCTCCTCCACCCCTCCCTCTCTGTCCACCCCTCCCTCTCTGTCCACCCCTCCTTCTCCTCCATCCCTCTCCTCCATTCCCCCTCTCCTCCATCCCTCCCTCTCTCCACCCCTCCCTCTCCTCCACCCCTCCCTCTCTCCATCCCTCCCTCTCTCCATCCCTCCCTCTCTCCATCCCTCCCTCTCTCCATCCCTCCCTCTGCTCCACCCCTCCCTCTCTGTCCACCCCTCCCTCTCCTCCATCCCTCCCTCTCTCTCCACCCCTCCCTCTCCTCCACCCCTCCCTCTCCTCCACCCCTCCCTCTCCTCCACCCCTCCCTCTCCTCCACCCCTCCCTCTCCACCCGCCTGCGTGCTGCTGAGGAGTTCCTTACCTCTTCTCAAAGCTGTTTTTCAGGTCCTGCTCCTCTGTGTCCAGCAGGCTGAGGTGGTCTGGGATCTCCACAAGCATCTCCTGCTCAGCCTTGCAGCTCTGCTCCTTCTCCTTCTTCTTCTCCATCTGTTTCCGTAGCCTTCTGTGCTGCAGCTCTTGCATGGCCTTGAACTGGAGTCTCAGGGTGTCTGCTGAGCTTTCTTCTGCCGCCATCCTGCCCTGAGAACACAGAAACCAAGACAAGTGACACGATGTGGGCCCTCTGTGGCCCAGACTGTCTACTGAGTCATCAGTGAGTCCAAGAAGACATTTGGAGTCCTTCACCTCAGGTCACCAGAGCCACGGCTGAGCAGAGGCCCTGCCTGCCAGTGGCAGCAGCAGACTCATGGTTCTGACATACATGCCTGGTCCCTCTGTCACCAGCCTTCGACCCTGGCTGACACATTAGCATCTCACAGGAGGTGCCAAAACTGAACATGTCTGGGCCCATCCCTAGAACTGCTGGATCCCAACCTCTGGAAAATGGGCCCTGACCATGACTTCTTCTTTCAGAGCCGAGGGATAGATCTGGGTGATGAAACATACCTACAATCCCAGCGGGAGAATTCGGAGTTTAAGGTCTGCCTGGGCTACATGGGGCTGTGCGTGTCAAAAACCAAAAACAACCAAACAAATAAATAAATGCACAAACAATTTATTTGAGGTATAATTTGCATACATTAAAGCACATACATCATGACTAGAAAGCCCAGCAAATCTTTCTACCTGTGCTTCTGAGGTGGCCACCGCTGGGGCTCAGAAGACAAGCTCTAAGGGCTGCGTCTGACGTGATGAGGAGAGGGAGTCCCCTGCAGTCAAGTCTGTCTGACAGACATCCTTGCCCAGGTCTGTTCTTTCTTTCCATGGGCAAGGGAAGGGCTTACGTTGGCACAAAACCTTATCTACCTCAGGGCATAATAGCAACAAAGCCACCATGGTTTCCTGTCCCCTCTCTGAAATTTCACTATCAACATCAAAGCAGTTTGTCACAAGATGTCTGTCCCAGCCTCCTCCAAGCCCCAAGCAGAATCGAGGAAACAGCTCCTGTCTCCTGGGACCACCCATCTCTCCCAAAACCTCCACATGCCCTGCCTCCCTCTGCCTGGATGCTCACCTACTGCTCAGAGTCAGCAAGCAGCGCATGCCTGCATGCGGGCGTGTTAAATAACCTCCGTTAATTACTCAGGGGGCCCAGGGCAGCGGCCTTTCCTCCAGTTAATTGCCCAGGGCAGGGCTAGTTTTTCTTTTATCCCTACACCACCACAATCGTGTCCTGGCCCACATATCGACCCCACACACACACACACACACCATGGCCGCTACTCTACTCTACGACAGACACGACCTCTCGGCCAGGCCACCCCGTCACAAAGGCATCTCCACCTACCAAGAGCTCCTGTGTGTCCCCTGCTCCCACACTCCCTGCCAGTCCCGGCTCCACGATGCCTCTGTTGACTGGCTTTGCCTTCTGCGGAATTTCACAAGACTAGACCATGCAGTGACCAGGTCTTTGTGGCTAGATCTTTTTATTTTTTCCTTTTCCCCTTTTGCCCAGTGCCACCTCCCAGATATTCACTCCCAGGGCCGCGTGCATCGGGCCGTTCCTTTTCACTACCGTGCAGTATTTAGCGTCTAGGAGCCGCACACTGGGCCTTGCCTGCGGCTGCCATTTGGATGTCTGAATGGTTCCCAGTTTGTGGCAGAGCCGGACTTTCCCGTCTGTGTGTCCATCGCCTTTCTCGTTTCTGAGGGCACGGGTGTGTGCCGGGAAAGCAGCCTCGGGGAGAAAGGGCTTGGTGGGCTGGGTTCACAGTCTTAGAGGACACAGCCCACCCCTGCAGGGAGGGGCGGGACCTGCAAACGTCCACTCTCCGGAAGCAGAGAGAGGACAAACAACGCGGTTACTCCACTCCCCTCTCCAGTCTGGGACTCCATGGGGCGGTGTGCCTTCCCCTTCCGGATAAGCCTTTCTGGAAACACCCTCACAGGCACACTCAACACTCAGAGGTGCATTTCCCACAGGGTTCTAAATCGAGTCAAGTTGTTAATGAATGTGAACTACCGTCCATACCCCCATCTCACTTCCCGGGTGGCTCACCGTTTTCACCTGACAGGTAACGGCTCCCCAAATTGTCTGTTTTCTCCCCATAGCATGTTAACTTCCAGAGGGCAAACATTTGTTTCTTCTTTTTAGTCGTTTGAGACAGGGTCCTGCAATGGCTAGCCTAGTGCTGTCCCTTGCTGTGTAGACCAGGCTTGCCTCAAACTCAACGCATCCACCTGTGTTAACCCCTCAAACGCTAGCGTTACAGGTATGTGCCACCAGGCTAGCAGGACACACCGTTTTCATCCACCTTGTTCGTGGCCGTGATACAGGACACGGCAGGTGTTTAACTAATATTTCTAGAGACAGTGAAAGAATTTGGCCTTTTATGGATAATTATACTTTGTAACCATCAAGGTAATCACAAGTAATTGTGACAAATACTTAGATAACCACAGACAGCCATAATTGCACAAATCTTCGTTTTGTTTTCCTTTGATGGGGGATGTCTTTTTGTACGCTGTGAATACATGTTTCTCTTATTGGTTGATGAATAAAGCTGCTTCGGCCAATGGAGAGGCGGGATGTAGCCAGGCAGGAAGTATAGGTGGGGCTACCAGACTAGGAGAATTCAGGGAAGGAGAGAGAAGGTGAGTCGTGAGAGAGACCATGTAGCTGCCAGGAAGCAGGAGACCTGGGCATCGCCGGTAAGCCAAGATTGCGTGGAGATACACATATTAATTGAAATGGGATAATATAATTAAGAGAGGGCCAGCCAATAAGAAGCCTGAGCCATCGGCCAAACAGTTTATAATCAATGTAAGCCTCTGTGTTTATTTGGGACTGCAGGGTGGCGAGATGGGCTGGACGGAAACTTCCGTCAACAACATCTTGGTGTGCGGTCCATTCTGGCTTCACACGTGAGCATGGTTGTCATTTGGGGGCCAGCATGGGCTTTTTAGTAACTTGTGGGCCAGCCCGGGCTACAGAGGGAAGCGCTACTCAAAAGACCAAAGGAGAGGGGGGTGGGGAATGTTTGGTTGGGTGCACCAGCGCAGGGTTCCAGAAGCCGGAGAGCGCGTGAGGATGGACGCTGAGCAGCGCTTCCCTGCCCACCAGCCGGCCACCTTCTGCCTTGTATTCAGCCCCAGACCCTGCTTTTTAAATCCCCCAGGCAGCCTGGGGGATGGGGGTCAAGGGAGGGCAGCAGCACCTAAGCCAGGGGTGGAGTGGGGTGGGGCCCGAGGCCACATGCCCAGTGGCAGCTGCCAGGACCTGCGTGCTAGTCCGACCCACGCGGGACGAGGGGGTCTGTCCTCCGCCTCACCAGCCCTTCCCACGCGGAAAACCGAAACCACGAGTCGGCCCCCGGTCCGGTCCCCACTGGGCCCCCGGTTCGGCCCCCGCCAGGTCCCGTCCTCCTCCTGAGCCGCCCCACACTTACCGCGGCCCCGCTTGTTTCAGGTCTGTCTTCAGGGCCGCCAGAGCTTCCTCTGCCCTGCCAGACGCCGGCACGCGCTGTCCTGGCAACCGTCGCCAGGGAAACCAATCAGGTCGCGTGCGTCTACGGGGGCCGGGAGAGCCCCTAAAGGACTGTGTGGACGCGGCTGCGGGCCCGGGGAGACCCACCAAACTGCGCCCACGAGCTGGACGGAAGACGCCAACGCGCCCTTGAAGCCTTCACGATTCCGGAGTGTATTTTATTTAAGGATTTATTTTTATTTTTAAAGGCAAGTGTCGCACGCATCCCAGGCTGACCTCGAACTCTGCTCTGCAGCCAAGGATGACGTTGAACTTTGGATCCTCCTGCCCCCACTGAGTGCTGGATGACAGGCTGCAACCACCACGGGTGTGCAGTGTCTCTTAAATTTGAAAGTTCCGCACAGGGAGGCGCATGCCATGTGTGTATAGAGGCCAGAGAGGCTTCGGGTCCCCAGGAACCTGAGCCACAGACAGTCGTGAGCTGCCAGCTCGTGCTAGAATCCACACGCGGATCTTCTGTGAGAGCAACAGGTGCTCTTAACCAGCTCCCGTCGCTTTTAATAAGGACTAAGCCATTCTCACAAAGCCAAAGCCAGGAACATTTTTTTTTTTTAGTTTCCATTTCTTTCTTTCTTTCTTTTTTTTTTTTTTTGGTTTTTACGAGACAGGGTTTCTCTGTATTGTTTCGGAGGCTATCGGTCCAGCCTGGCCTCGAACACACAAAGATCCGCCTGCCTCTGCCTCCCGAGTGCTGGGATTAAAGGCGTGCGCCACCACCGCCCGGCTAGTTTCCATTTTTTTCTTTTTAAACCTTCCCACCGTCCCCGCCGAGGGGCTTCTGCCACCATTCGCTCATTCTTTAGCCTGAAAATTTTCTGCAGTTTATAAACGCGATGCTCTATCATTCAGAAGCCAAGGGAACGTGGACCCGTCTTCATTCTGTTCTCCCAGCCCCCACATCTCGTTTCTCTAACCAGAACTACTTGTAGAATACTGCTGGGTTGCTTTAATTTTTAAAATTATGTTTGATTCATTTGCGGGGCAGCACCTGTGCCATCCATGCATGTGTGTGGAGGTCCAAGGACCATTTGTGGGAGTTGGTGGACCTCCGGTCACCAGGCTTGGCAGCAGGTGCCATCAAGTCTGCCCTTGACGAGCAGCATGCTGCAATCGGAGCTATGTAACATATCTCCAGAGACATCAAATGCCCAGATTAAACACAAGAAAGAAAACAGGACAACTTAAACTTTAGATATTCCCGTTGATTCTTCATATTCTGCAAGGGGGACATAACATTTCTTTTCAAAATATTTTATGAGATTTTAAGTACATCATTTCCCTCTTTTCTTTCCTTCTTCCAAATCTTCCCAAGTGTCCTCCTCTGCTTTCTTTCAAATTTATGACCTCTTTTTAATTGTGTGTGTGTGTGTGAGAGAGAGAGAGAGAGAGAGAGAGAGAGAGAGAGAGAGAGAGAGAGAGAGAGAGAGAGAGAGAGAGAGAGAGAGAGAGAGAGTGAGAGAGAGAGAGAGAGAGAGAGGCTGAGACTGCCTGTTCGGTCTGCACAACGCTGCTTGTATGTGTGTGTTTTCAGGGCTGACCACTTGATACTGATGAGCAATGGTGTGCTCTTCCCTGGGTTCTCTCTCTCTCTCTCTCCTGGATTCAGCATTCCTTTGTGCAGGCTTGGGGCCTGGTGAACTTTCCCCCTCCACGTTAGCATGTCTGTTGAAATCATTTTGTTCAGGTCATGCTTAGGCAGTCATGTTGGTGAGACTTTATGGGTGTAGCTTCTGATGTTTCTGGGAGAGACAATGTCATAGCAACCTTCTTCTTTAAAAGGAAATAAAAAGCTAATAATTTGTGATCATATGGAGGTCAGATGCCAACCTCAGGGTTGTTCTTCAGAAGCCTTTCATCCAGTTTTTGAGACAGGATGTAACAGTCAGTTTTGTCAATTGTCACAATCTAGTCTCATCTGGGGAGAGAGCTGCAGTGTGACTGTCTAGATCAGGGTGGCCTGTGGGCCACTGTCTTCTTTAATTGTGGGTGGCACCTGGGTTAGGGTTTTGAATTGCATGAGGACAGAGAGAGTAAGCTGGACAGTAGGGGAAAATGCATTCATTTCTTTTGGCTCTTGATTCCCCTGTGGTGATGGACTGAACCTGGAGCTGTGAGCTAAAGTCAACTTTTCCTCCTAAATGTTTTTTTTTTTTCCAGAGTATTTTCCATGTCAACAGAAAGGCATCGAGGACATGGGGCCACACTTGCCTTTTTATACGTGGGCTCATGGGATCTCACCGAGGTCCTCAGGTCTGCAAGGCAAGCACTTTACCGATGGAGCCATCGCCCCAGCCCATGTGTCCTTACCTTCTTGAAGATAACAGGGCCGTCAAGTATACTTCCCCCCCACTGAAATTATATTCTTCCTATAAATAAGAAGCATAGTCATTCTGCTCAACGAGAAACTAAATAGAACCGAAAAGTGACTCTCTGACAAGAGCCAAGTCACAAACACCATCTTATTTTTTAGATTAAGTTATTTTATGTGACAAAGTGTTTGTCTGGTGCCAGAAGAAAACCAGAAGATGTCCCGCGCTCTATCTCGCCCGCAAGAATGACGCGGCACACGATCAGGATCCTTCTGCAGTAAGCTTTATTGCTCCTGAGAGGAGGAGCATAAGCTATCACAAAGCGAAGACCCCACGCCCTAACGGGACTCTCCTTATATAGAGAGTTTCTCTCGCCTCGGACGTGGCAGTTAATTACTGGTCCAATTATGTCACCCGAGGTGACGTAAGGCACAGGCACCCCCGGCCTCGTGGGCAGGGAGCTCCTGCTCATGCGCAGCAGGGTTGTCATTGCAACTGTCAGGCGGATGTCAGCGCCATCTCGCCATGGCGTGGTTCCAGGGCAGCGCCCAACAAGAAGAGGTCACTGGATCCCTTAGAACTGGGATTATAGATGGTGGTGAGTTGCCGTACAGGTGCTTAGAAATGAACCTGGGTCCTCTGGGAGAGCAGTCATTCCTCTCAATCACTGAGCTATCTCTCTAGTTTCCTCCATTGTTTCCAGGCAGGTCTGAGTCTACCAATGGAGCTCATCTCTAAATTGTGTTTGTGTATGTGGAGATCTCGGTCAGCAAATGTTGACTTTCTCAGAAGACTCAGTGTTCTGGACTGTACGTACACTGTGATTTTTCCTCCCAAATTTCTCCTTTATTTATTTATTTATTTATTTATTTATTTATTTATTTATTTATTACATATACAGTGTTCTGCCTGCAGGCTGGAAGAGGGCACCAGATTGAATTGTAGATGGCTGTGAGCCACCATGTGGTTGCTGGGAATTGAACTCAGGACCTCTGGGAGAACAGCCAATGCTCTTAACCTCTCAGCTATCTCTCCAGCCCAATTTCTCCATTTTATTCTCGGCTCAGGTCACGGGTTTTTGTAGTTGTTGCTTAGTGTTTTTACTTAGCCTTTTTCTTTCTTTCTGGTGCTGGACATTGAACCCAGGGCCTCAAATATGCTAGACAAATGCTTCACCGTCGAGCCACGCCCCCAGCCTCCCATGGAAGCCACCCGATCTGTCATTACCACTTCTCCTGCTGCCGGGGCCCCGAGGCCTTACGCCGGTGCTAGCATTTGACTTGCATTTGCACAGTGAATAGTGTGTGTGTGGATCTCTTCGGCCTCCTCCTTTGAGAGGCTGAGACGAATCTTCACCAGCATGAAGGCGCAGAAACAGATGACTGGCCTAGGTTAGAAGTGGAGGGGACGGATGTGAGCCAGGCTGACAGGGTTGGTGGCTGGCCCACTGGAGAACAGAGGGAGGAGACACGGCAGGGGGAGACGGTGGACGGTGGTGGTGGTGGTGTTGCCGACAGAAATGTTAACCTGAGGAGGGCCGCCAGCCAGGGAGACAGTGGCTGCCGCTGGAAAGGAACTTTTAGTCGACCAGTCACACTGGGAACAGCCCAGTCCCCGACTGACTTTCCTCTTCTGTATCTGCCCCATGCAGGTGGCTGAGGGAAGCAGAGTCCTCGAGTCCCCGACTCGGGCCCCTGCTCAGTCCTGGTTCCTGAGCTAACCCAGGCTCGCTGGTCACGTGGCACTCCATCTCATGGCCTGGGCTTCCTTTTCCCCTAAATCCAAAGCGCTTCCAAACAGGGTGGAGAGCAGTTACCTCAGTTCTGCTGCTTCATACGTGGCACCTGCTACCTCATGACCTTGTAGCCACGAGGGAGTGGGCTGCAGACTTACATGGGATAGACGCCTAACCCTGAGTTCCCCGGGAACTCTGGGCTTCAGTCCCGCATCTCTAGGACGGGAGGCGCGGTTTCCATGACCACTGTGGTCAGGGAGCAGCTGGGCCTCACTTTTTGATTCGCTCCATTAGGGAGCTTGTAAAGTGGTCAGATCCGATTCTCGCCACCAGATGCCGCTGTTGCTCAGACACGGCACCCCCAGTAATGGCAGATGGGTTCCGGAACCCCCGGGGAGCGCCCAAACCTGCAGACAGGTGGTCAGGTCTCTCAAACAACAGTGAGGGGCACATCCCCCACGTCCCTGGCACTGTCTAACGCAACAGGACGATGTGTAACGGTTGTTACACCACACCCCTAGGAACCCCACAGGAAAAGGAAATCCGCACATGCTCAGTACTGACACAAAAATAAAATAGTTCACACCTGTGGTTGGACGAATCCACGCGCATGGACAACCATGGACAGAGGACCAATTGAAACTCGAGAAATGCACAGCCCCAAGTCTGACGCTAATGGGTTTAGCAAGCATTAACTGAGCCGGAAAAAGACCGTTGCGCCCTGATAGGTAAGGAAGAAAGGCCTGAAGCGGTCTCTGCACTCCGGATGAGAATTCTCTCCACGAACGCTGTCTCTGGGGAGACTTCCAGTCCCAGCCCTGAGCTCTGCGCCAGCCGGGAGCTCCAGCGGCTTCCTCGCTGGCAGGCATGTGTGCTGTGATCTTTAGACCCAGACTTTAAGCCCTATACTCAGTGCAATCGTAACAGCAGCCGTGTACTGACTGACGAAAGCACAGCATGCTAGGCTACGCCCTTCGATGTCTTTCTTTCTCTACCTAGATAGCGTCCCCGCTTTAGATGAGGACGACACAGCTATCTGGCTCTGAGTGGCAGAACTATGCGTTCAGGCGTTACTCAATAGCAAATTCACAAGATGCGGATTGACACTAAAGCAGGAAGCCTAAAACAAAACAAAACAAAAAAACCAGAGAACTTTCTGAAAGTTGTTCAGCAGTTAGATAGGACAACAGAAACATAGCTAGCCCACGCTCTCACGTCATGTGCTGGCTGGGTCCAGATCATACAGTCCCTGATTAGGACATGCCTGATGCAGCCTAATCTTACTAGATATGGTCACTACAGCCACTCCAACCTCACAGAGGCCAAGTCTAAACTGGAAATTCCATCTATTCTAAACTAGAACAATATAAAGCAAAGTCCCGAGCTGGAGAGATGGCTCAGGTGTTAAGAGCACTGCCCATTCTTCAGGAGGTCCTGAGTTCAATTCCCAGCTACCACATGTGGCTCACAACCATCTTAATGAAATCTGGTGCCCTCTTTTGGCCTGCAGGGATACATGCAGACAGAACACTGTATACATAATAAAAATAAATCTTAAAAAAAAAAGCAAAGTCCCATAGTCAGTCCTGTTAACTGCCTGCCTCCCAGGCCCAAGTGCTAGCCATGTAACCCAGGCCTGTGTAAAGGGTCCTACCTCCTAGATCACTAATTTAAGAATATTACATGTAATATTGTTAATTACAGTAAGACACTTAGCAGGTAAAGATGCTTGCTACCAAGGCTGTGAACCTGTCCACACCCAGGAGAGAACTGACTCCCCAGACTGTCCTGTGACTGCTGCACACACATATAAGAGTAGTAAAAGGGAGAGGGTTGGAGAGATGGCTCAATGGTTAAGAACAGCAATTGCTCTTGCAGAGAACCCACATTCAGTTCCCAGCACAACTGCCTGTAACTCTAGCTCCAGGGATACTCAGCACCTCCAGCCTCTGAGGGCACCTGCGCATACCCAATACATATCTACATCTACACATAATGAAAACAAACATTTCTCAGAGCAGCGTGGGGCACAGTAAGTGACCAGCAGATGCTAACCATTGCTCCTAGCTGTAGATGGCCTTTAACTATCTCCCACCACAGGTAGAGACATTCTGTTTTCTTCTTCTTCTTCTTCTTTTTTTTTTTTTTTTGGTTTTACGAGACAGGGTTTCTCTGTATTGTTTTGGAGGCTGTCGGTCCAGCCTGGCCTCGAACTCACAGAGATCCACCTGCCTCTGCCTCCCGAGTGCTGGGATTAAAGGCGTGCAACACCAACATCCAGCATGAGATATTCTGTTTTCTAATCAGTGTTGCTGAGGGAAATTTTACTTTTCTTATGCTGAAATAAATACAAGACACCCGATGTGTTCACTTATTTTAATACAATACACACGCCATGTTGTCACTGTGGAGTGTAAGCTCATGTTGGACCAGGGATTTTACAGTGCACTTGGTGTTCTGTATATCCCAATCTGTGTGTAAAAAAAAAGCCCGCCCACCATTGTCCTCTCATTTTTGGTACAGGGAAAGTAAGACACACTGTCCACAGTAAGCTGTGTATTTCCTGTATCATTTTTGTAAGTATCACCACTCACGGTTCCCACTTCTGCTGGGATGCAGCGCAGGGTGATGGTAATCGCCTAGCCTACGTGCGGCCCTGCATCAATGCCCAGCACCACAAAAAAGAAACAACAATACCTGTATTTCAATATGATGTTTAAGAATTGTCCTATTATAAAGCAGCAAAAATATAACTTTGTAATTATAAAAGAGCTAAACTGGAACCCGCAATTACTCTGTGTGCAAGTATGATTCGAATAAACCCTGCTTCTCTGCAGCTATCATCAGCTTTCCCAGTTGTGTACACACCACACACACGCACGCACGCACACACACACACACACACACATACACACACACGCACACACACACACACACTTTCTCTCTCTCCCCTCCCTCAGCTGTAGGGGGCTTTATAAGTTTATTTTTCATGCACTCTTTAGTTCTAAAGCCAACCTACAGGCAGACAACAGAGGCTATAAGAACGGGTAAGTGTGACTCCTCCCTTCCAAAGCAAGGCCCACTCCACAGCACACTGTGTCTGCACTGCCCACCGCCCTCCTTAAAACGTGCACCACACAGGTGCAAGGAGAACACTCACCCACTACATTCAGGTGACAGGTTTCTTTTGTGCTAACTTGACTCCTCACCCCCCAAGTGACCTAGTTAATGAACTAGTCACTATCAATTTGGTCACCAGGTAAATCAAGCTGGCAAGAAAGTAAGCCGATGTTCAATACTGTGGTATTGTCTAAACCCATGTTATTTATTGTAGACACAAACATGTAACCTCAATATGAGACGTCAACTAAAGTAAGCACTTCCCAGACCAAGGCAGCAGCTCGTCTTCTAAGGCTTAGGTTTGGCCCAGAATTCTTTATACATGGAATAGCCCATACCTAAAGAGAAAGAAGAGAAATGTTAAAACATCCCTTTAGCACTCAGAAAACACACAACAGTCCACAGGACAGTTACAAGTGACAGCTGCCAGGAGAGCTGGACACCAGAGGCAACACTCCAGCCTCACATTCAATCCTAAAGTCACTAAGTCAGGATGCCAGTAAAACATTTTATAATACTTTCTACTTCCCCAATCTCATACAACAATCACATTCTTCTCAGAAACTCCAAACCTATGTTCAGATGGCAAGGAAATTCTGATAAGCGTTTATCTATCACAGTAGGTAAAACTATCACTGCTCTAATTAATGAACTATGCCTTCACAAGAAAATGAGAAAAAGGTATTTTCAAGCTGAGGAAAAAGGACTGCTTAGCTCAGTAAAGGAGAGCATCAGCGAGAAGCACACATCTGCACATGTCCTGTTGGACTTACCAAGAGTCATGGCTCCAACGACAAAGCCCTGGGCCGCCACACGCATGTGGATCAAGTGAATGGACATCTTCGTATTTCCCCTGCTTTTCAGTCTGTATAGCCCGTATGCCACAATTGCTGCGAACCCTGCCATCCCTACAAAACAGTCACAGTTGTGTCAGAGGCACAGGAGAGGGATAGTTTCACCATCAGCCATGTACTTTCTGCTGTTTTTGTCAGGGTATCTATCAGAGCGTTAATTAACACAGTTTTCAATCTTTTTGTTTTTGTTTCTCAGGCCCAAATCTAGAATTCGTAGCAAACAGCAGCAAATGTAGATAGATCTTTTTCTTGGGTCCTTTGTGTTTTGGAAACAGCATCTCACTGTGTAGCCCTGGCTGGCTTTGAATTCCACCTGTCTCCACCCACCAAGCACTGGGGCTCCTCCTCCATCCCCTGTGAAGGGTCCCATGTATCCCAGGCTGGCCTCGAATTTGTTATGAACAGAGGATGACCCTGAACCTGCCCCTGCATTCCAAGTGCAGGGTTCTAAGCCACAATGCCCTGCTCAGGGTGACTTCTAAAGAACTGGCTTTGTGGGATAGGCAGACAGACTGAGGGACTGGAGGAGGGCAGAGGGACGGACGCCTCAGCATCCGCTGACAAGTGCAGTCCCTGGAATCCAGCTGTTTGTTTTCAAAGTCAGATACTCACTGAGCATCTGTAACTCCAGCAGCACGCCTATGGACAGACGGGAGGTGGAGACAGGAGGATTGCACAGGGGGTCAGGGCCCGCCAGCCTGGAGTATGCAGTACAGAGAAGACAGGAGACAGCTGCCTCAACCGGATGGGAAGAGAGAACAGCCTCCTGAAAGCTGTTCTGACCTACACTTGGGCACGGCGGCACACGCACACATATACATTAATAAAGAAATGAAATTCTAATTGCATCCTCCCAAATGTCTAGGAAGTTGTGACAAAAGACAATCATGCATTAGGTCACAAAGAAAACTGAATTTCAGAAAGGCTAATTCCTATAGACTCATAACCTAACACTGAGACCCAGCCACCAATATAAAGCGGGCAACACAAGCACACTAAAGAGATTAAGCTAGTAAAGAGATTAGGGCTTGGATGTTAAAACAGAAAGAAAGAAATTAGGAAGTAACTGTGTTAGCATGGAAAAGGAAAAAACAAGACAGCAGCACTACCCTAGAGTAAATACTTGTCAGACGCAAACCAGAAAGTGGTTACAGGAGACCTGAGAATGAATTTGGGCGGGATACCTGTCGATCTCCAGGCATACAACTGGTGTCCTTACAGACAGGCCTTTGTTTTACCTTCTCCTAGACTTTCCCCTGGATGTCTGCTGATGTACCAGTGAAGTAACTGTCCGACTGGGCTTTGGCATGAATGTGACATTCACGACAGTGATTCTCAACCTCCGTCATGCTGCAACCCTTTAATTCAGTTCCTCATGTTGTGGTGACCTCCAGCCATGAAATTATTGCCATTGCTACCGCAATGTTGCTACATTATGAACTGTAATGTAAATATCTGTAGTTTCTGATGATCATGGATGAACACTGTGAAAAGGCCGCTTGATCCCCAAAGGGATCGAGATCTACAAGCTGAGAATCACTGCTCTAGAGTCAAGTGAAGGAGTCTGAATCGAGGCACTGCCCAGATCAGACTGACCCGTGGTCACGCCTGTGGCACTGTTCTGATTGACAGTGGGAGGGACCTGTAGGTGCTGTTCCTTCCTGGGCAGGTGGTCCTGGGCTAGGTAGTAGCTGGCTGAACATGAGCCGGGGAGTAAGCCAGCAGTCTCCCTCCACAGTTTCCGCTTCAGGTCCCTGTCCCGACTTCCTCAATGACAGTCTGCCACCTGGAAGCTTAAGACAGATAGCCTTTCTTTCTTCCTTTTGATGCTCTTGGTGATGAATTTTATCACAGCAACAGCCATGTGCCTAGGACAGTAATCATTTCTCTACTTGGTCTACCTGTTTCTCATTTGATTTTCTTATTCCCTGTGCAGACACTTGTATCACCCACAGACCAACGGGGTTTCTTCCTGAAGCATGGGCATGGCTCCGTTCCCGCCCTATGCAAGTGTCAGGATCTCCAGGTAACAACAGCAGAGTTCACACGGATTCCCGACCCAGCCTATTTAAAAGGACTGTTTCTAGTGTTCTAACACTAAGTATAATTTGTATCTGCTTTAAATGAAGAAAGTATTCCAATTTACTGATTTTGGAAATTCCACTGATCACATCGCTGTTTCATGAGCTGGGAGGCCGTCATGGACACTGTGTGCCTCTGTGACTGACCTCAATGCACCGTAAATGCCAGAGTTCAGCAGCCATCCCTTTGCCCATGCTGGCACCCAGCAGTGTCCTCTAGGAGGAGACACCTGCAAGCGTAGGCTTGGTTCCCCTGGGCTTCATTGCAGGCGTCTTTGTTAACTTTCACCTCTATCCCTTCAGTGCCAAGAACCTTAACATGATTACACTGTTTCTGTTTTGAGTCCAGGCAAATCTCAGAGCCAGAGTTGGTCCTGGGATCCCACACGGGTCCCTGAACAGCCAATCACACAAATCGGAGAACACGAGCTTTTCTGACGTTGACCTTACCATACTTCAGCAAAATAAGAAAAAAAAAAGGTATTTCAGGGTCCACTCAATATACAATTTACATACTTTCACTGCTTTGAGCTTGAAGCAGACTAATTATCAGAGTGTCAGTCACTTACCAATGGGGACAAACGGTGTTTCCTTAGCTTTCCGAATAAACTTAGATCCCTGACCTTCATCATATGAAGAAAGAGAAAGGTCAGTGTTGGTTGACATCGTGATTTCTTGAGTCTTCCTGAAAGAGAATTTTTTAAGGTTCTGTAATTAGAAGCATATTATTATCTAGAACTACTATGTCTAGTTTCCATGGTATCTGCTGTGAACTTGAAAAAACAATTTTAGATAAACTTTCATAACTAAAGAGAACTGTGTACATTTATTATCCCATCATTTGCCTTTTCTCCCATATGACAATTTTTCTTTAACGCGTTGTGAGAAACAGCATTATTTATTTTTAAAGATTGTGTGTAGGCGTGTGTCTGTGTGAGTGTACATGTGCTTGCGGCAGCCAGGTGTTGGATCCCTGGAGCCAGAGCGACTGCTGGTTGTGAGCCACGCAACATGGGTACCGGGAACTACACTCGGTCCTCACCACTGAGCCACTGCCCCCTCCTAAGCACTTTTACTGTGGTCTTTTAATGCCCTCAGCCGCTGACGTACTGGTTCCCACACGCTGCCTGGCTTGAGTTCTCACCTCTGAATAGTCTCCAGTCTGTTACACTAATCAATGGTCATTGCCTTTTAGGAAAAGAGTGCAGTTACAGACAAAATTTCTACCTAGTTTATTATTTACTCCCTTTTGAGAGAAAAAGTAATTTTAGCAAATGCTGCTAAAAATAGCTCCTTATAGACATGTTTCCATGTACAATTGCACAGCTTTTGGGGTCTTGCTTTGTTTTGAGACAGGGTCTCTCTACATAGCCCTGGTTGTCCGGGAATTCATTCTGTAGACCAGGCTGGCCTCAAACGCAGAGATCTGTCTGCCTCTGCCTCTCTGTCTCTCTGTCTCTCTGTCTCTCTCTCTCCCCACCGCCCAGGTTATTATTGTTAACATCATTACAACACACAGCAACTCTCTCAGGGCTTTCTTCATGGACATCCAAGGGGCTTCTGATCTGCTGTCTTTCACGCACCTTCCCAATGCCCCCAAGGCTTCCTCTAGACAACTCTCTGTCTTCCTTGTATAACATTCCTTCAGTGGCACTCAGAGAAGGCCAATATGAGCTGAACAGTTGTGTGACTAAAGGACCAGGAAAAAACTAATTCATTTCCACCATCACAGGGAGCAAAGGCTCCCTCCCTACAGTCATCGCTCACACAGGAAGTTCACAGACATCTCATTACATCGCAGTAATGACAAATCCATTTCATCTTTATTGTGTATTTCTTTAATGAACTATTTTGAATTTCCTGTAATTCTGATTCACAGAGTCGATAAAGGAGGCAAACATGGCATAGAGCACACAGACCTCCCCCTGGTACCAACTGCTGCCCATCACTATGTACAGTCCTGGACTCTTCATGTGCAATGTATGCCCTTCAGTAAGAAAGACGCAAGGGCAACGACACTTATTCCCGGGGTCTAAGTGGCAGCAAAGGCCTCAAAGAAGACACAACTCTACTGGAGGAAAGTCTGCTTTGAAAAGTGAGCTCATGTCTCCAAGCCTTACATCCCCTAAAGAGACTGTCTTCCAACAGAGAAGAAAACTAGCCAGCTAGAACTTTCAGAAGAGAACTGTCTTTTTTTTTTTTCCTACTCCATTACTTCCCAACACAATAAATCTTACTAAGCTTTTGTATATACAAGGTTCAGTAAGCTCAAGGTTCAGGATACTTGCTATATTTGCAAAAATAAAACAAATACTGACTAGGTGTGATGGCATACAGTTGTAATACCAACAGAATCCGAAGGGGAAGGATCTTGAGTCCCAGGCCAGCCTGGGTTACAAAGAGATGACACCCCCACCTCAAAGAAAGCAAAACAAGCACCAGCACCCGGAAAGACATCTGTGTGAGTTCGAGGCCAGCCTGGTCTACAGAGTGAACCCAGTCCCAGGATGGGCTCCAAAGCTACACAGAGAAACCCTGTCTCAAAAAACATAAACAACAACAAAACAAAAAAATCTCCAAATAATCACAGAGGGTATCCTGATAGGAAGGAAAAACAAATACACAGAAATCCAAAACAAACACATAAATAACTGATGGTTCAAAAGTCAGATTATTTTTTAAAAAGGAATGGACAGAATGTACTTACTTGTCAGTAACACAATCCATACTGAACTACAGAAGAATATCTTAGCTAGAAGAGATTTGAGAGGCTCCACAGACACCTAAGACCTCAAGAACTGCATGACTGGGCTCTATGGAGGGACAACACTGCATTTAGGCCTGCATATGAGCTCCCTCCAGACCTACCTATCTGTAGGTTTCTCAGAGATAGGACTGCTGATCACAAATCCTCCACCTCCTCTGCAGCTCTACTCCAGCACCTGTCTTTTCTGTTCTGTACTCTTCCAAGCGTTTGCAGAGTCGATCGCTCTGTTACAACAGCTTTCCCTTTTGCCTCTCTCTGTCTACTTCACGATTTCCCCCAGCTAGTCCTGGTTTTGCAGGTTTGCAGCTGAACTGGTGCTCTGGAGAGTCTTTGGTTTGTTTATAAGCACTTTGGTTATGACTCCCACACAATTCTGCAACTCAACAGTTATGATTAGTCTCAGGTAATTTATTAATACATGGTAAAAACAGCAACTATATACTTTTAGAGAGTTTAATCAGGAAGTATAAAACATCAAGCTGTATATACCTAAGTGTTAATTTCCTTTTATTGTTCTTATATCGAATCTACGGGGAAAAAAAGATATCCTGATGAGGTCTTGATTCCTCTAAGATACAAGTGACACAGTCATCAGAGTACAACCTACTTTAAAAACCTCCCTTTGTGGCTGGGTGTGGTGTACACACCTTTGATCCCAGCACTCAAGAGGCAGAGGCAGGTGGATCTCTGTGAGTCCCAGGACAGCCAGAGCTACATAATAGAGACACCTTATCTCAAAAATACAAAACGAAACAAACCTCCCCTTGCCTCTATGCCTCCTGAGCTGATCACGTGAGTTATCTCTAGAAATGGATTGTCTGGGGATGTAGCCAGTGACGGACACTTGCTTAGCACTCATCAAGTGAAGGGTTAGGTCCCCAGCACCAGCAACACACCAACCAACCATAACTAAATAAACCAATCACAGCTGCATCTTTCCCCTATTTCCTAGGTGGATGAGTGGACTATCCAGTGAGTTCCTGGAGCAAAAGGCTCTTCCCCTTTCACTGTGGAGAGACAACTGTCTCTCTACTGTAGATAAAGGACAGAGGGCTTGGGGTCTTTCCCTCCATCACTGTGACACTGATCTCACGCTAGCATGGGTGGGGCACTTACCTCACTTTCAGAGTGCTGCCTCTGCCCTTAAGAATTGGAGCACGCCAACTGGCCATTATTTGCTTTAGGGGACCAGTGACAGCCAGAGTGGTGATGCATGTCTATAATCTCAGCACTGAGGGAGGAGGATCATAAATTCAAAGCTAGCTTAGGCTACATAGCAACACTCTGTCTCCATCTCCAGACAACTACAAGAATAACGAAACCAAATTTACAAAAGACACCCAGAAGGCATGATCGGACAGATGTCTGCCAGGAAGCTGAAGGTAAGTCTGGAGCTCAAAGAAAGCGGGGTTGATGGAGCTATAATTACATGACCTAGCAGACAGAGGCCTTTGCTCCAATGCATTAGCACGCTTGTGTACCAGTTACACATGCCAGTAGCTACCGGGAGGGGGTGCAAAGAGAAGCTGAAGAACTGGGTGTGGTGGCGCTCGGCTGCATTCTTAACCCCAGACTAAGGGAGGCAGGAGGGCTCAAGTTCAAAGCTAGCCTGGGCTACACGGCAAGACCCCGAGGTAGACAAAGAAAGGAAAGAAGAAACAACTAATCGCAATCTGTTTTTTGATTGGGGAATACTCGAGTGCACATTTTAGCATACGATCAGGTGAAACAGCAGTTCTTGAAGCCCAACACATACCAGAACTGGAAATTCAAATTAGACCTCTACATCATCTTAAAAATGATGCAACTCTAACGTAATCAGTATAAACAGAAAATGCACTCCAAATACGTATCTTTGACAATCACCTTTATCAGCTAAAGACTTCCCGAGTATTCACGAAATACCGCCACTTAAATGGCAAGGATGATGTGCCTTTAAAGTTTCAAGGTCAGTAAGCTCAAATCACAACCAGAGTGAGAAATGAGTCAGACGATGATCAATCTGCTCATTTTACAGGTAGAAAAGAAGGGTTTGAAGGGTCGAGTGACTTGTGCTACACCAGCAGGACATCTCTGGAAAGAACCTGGCTCTCCTCAAAGTCCACAGTTCTTTCAGGCTGGCAATATATCTATTATTAAACCAACACTTTTACGCCACAGGTGCAAATGTGAGCTGAAAATATGAAAATCCGTTCCTAGCAGAAGCCCCCAATACCGTCTCTGAACTGTAAAAACCGTGTAAGGTCATACCAAGCTAAATGGACTTTCTCCCGAGATTTAAACTATCTAACAATCCCAATTTCAATTCGGAAATACATTCTTTTATTATCTCACTCACCCAGAGTCTGACCTACATCTGCCAGGGAGTAGAACATATTCCTAAGTCACCGACAACCAAGTATTCGAACTTAGGTTTGCTGAGCACATTATTAGTCTGTAAGGTCAGATCTCACTGCTGACACCCTTTCCCAAACGCAGGGCAACCTAGAAGAGGTAAAACGAGGAAGTGGCTGAGCACCAATCAGGTGATCATGCAACAGCCCTTGAAGACCCTTTCCAGCCCTGACCCTTTGACCCCAGGAACAACCGCCTAAAGCAGCGGTTTCAAATTCTGGTTTTTGCATCAGTCACCTGTCAGCCTATGCAAAATGGCTGCCAGGGCGCCAGCCTGGAGATCCCGATTCAAACGACCAGGGTGGCACACACGGATTTAGGTTTTTTTCGGGAGCCCTTTCTCGAGCTATACCGGTGTACACGGGGTTAAAAGCCGAACCCCCCCCCCAGCGCACACACGCACTCCATGAGCTCGGACAACCGCCGGAACCCGTCGGAATTTGCATCCGAACTGTCAAGCTGCAAGAGGGCCTCGGTGCTTCCGGAAGCGGATCCCCTGGGGGGGGGGATCGCGCCCTCCAGGGGGGCAGAGAGGGCTGCTGTCCACCCCGGGAACGGCAAACGAGGAGGCGCGGTAACGCTGGGACCCTCTCGACTCCTCTACGCCACGGCCCCTCAGTCGGGGGCACTCGCCTTCCGCCGCAGCCTCCCTCCTCCGTCTGAGCGACACCACAGGGTCACCCCAGGTCGGCGCAAAACCCCGGTGACGCACGGGGGAGGCCGGGCCGAGGCGCCCTCATCTCCCACCCTGCTCATGACCTTGGCCCGCCTCCGAGGCCGGTGGCACCGCGCTCCTCCTCCTCGTCGTCCTCCGCGCACGCGACCCCCTGGGTCGCCCCCAAGTCGCGGCGCCAGCCCAGTCCCCGTCTCTCCTTCCCGCGGCCACGATCGGCTCCGAAGCTCCCTCGGCCTCCACATCCCCCCGGGCCGACAGGGATCGGGTCTTGTCCCCGCCGCCCCCCGCGTCCCACTGCCCGCAGCCCCCGACCGTCCCGAGGACCCCGGGACCCTCCGCCCCGCGTCCTCCCGGCCCGGCGCGGCTCCCCCAACCCCGCCTCACTCACCGCGACCCGGCGCCCCTTACAGTCCCGCCGGCTCCTTGGCCGCCACCCCAAGTGCGAGCGAGCGCAGAGGCTTCGCCCGGCCCCCGCTGCCCGCTCCAGCCAATCAGAAGCCAGCAGCCGGCGCGGCCGGGTCCCGCCGATTGGACGCGCGGTGGGCGCGGTGGGTGGGGCCACCGGAGCGAGGCGCCGATTGGCCGGAGCGCCGGGGACTCTCGTCGGGCCGCCTGGTCGCACGCCATTCGTGTCAGACGTGAGGCCTGGGCGGCGGCGGGGAGGTTGGCGCGGGGCCGCGGGGCGGTCACCGGCTCCGTTCCCCGGGTTTGGGGGGGTGCCTGCGTTTCCCACGGCTTGCTCGCCGGGCTCGCCGCGCACGCGCAGGCCCGCCCCTGGAGCCGGTGCGGGTCGGAGGGCGGTGGCGTCTCCCGGGGCAGCCGGCTTCCGGGGCGGGGGCTCGCAGCGTCGGTGGAAGGGATGGACGGCGGCGAGCTCGGCCCGCCCGCCTGTGGCACCGCGTCGTGTCCACGCTAGCACAGCAGGAGGCTGCTGGTAGGTGCTCCACGGCCGGTGACTTCTCCCGGGAGAGGGAGCTGCACACCTCAGGGCAGACATAAAAAAAGACTCCATGCACCCCTAGGCTAGCCTAGGCTCTCCCCCGGAGCCCCCTCCCCCGGCGTGAGGGGAGCCCGGTGAATCGTGTCACTTCCTAAGTTTCCCACGCCACAGCGCTTCTTTTTTAGATCAGCTTTATCCACGTTTATTCGTTTGCGTGAGCTTTTGCTGAGGTCAGAGGACAGCATCCGCCAGAAGTCTCTTTCTGCCGTCTGGGTCCTGGGCGCAGAACTCCGCATTCATTGGTCGTCGCTTTTGGTGACCCTTTACCCAACGAACTAACTGTCTTGCTGGGCCCTCAGGTGTTTTCTTGAGTTTCCTGAAGGTCGGCGTTTGATCGCTTCCTTTATCCTACGAGCGCACCCTTCAATCACTGCAACAATGAACTTGGCTGAATGTTTACATCTTTGGCTACCTTTTTTTGTTGTTGTTGTTGTGGGGAAGGGCGCATGTGCCCTGACAGAGGTGTGTGTGTAGGTCAGACGACGAGTCTGTTCTGTCCTTTGACCGTGGGCCCCAGGGAATCAAGTCATACGTAGGAAACATTTAAAAAACGTCACACGTTTGGGGTGGAGAGTTGGCTCTGTGGTTAAGAACCCTTCAATACCTGGTGATGACGATGCCTGGCTTTAATCCCAGCACTCGGGAGGCAGAGGCAGGCGAGTCTCTGTGAGTTCGAGGCCAGCCTGGTCTACAGAAGGAGTTCCAGGACAGCCTCCAAAGCTACACAGAGAAACCCTGTGGGGGGGGGGGGACAAACAAACAAACAAAACACTTGTTACTCTTGCCGAGGACCAGGTTCAGTTCCCAACACCCACGTGGTGGCTCACGTCTATCCACAACTCCAGTTCTGGTGGCTCCAGCACCCTCTTTTGACCACTGGGGGCACCAGCCATGTATATACGATGCAGTGCATACCTGCAGACAAAGTGCTCATACACATAAAGTAAATCTTAAAAATAAAGTCCTCCACGCCTCATTTCGTGGCAGCCTTCTGTCCTCCAAGGCACGCTTTTTGTATGGGTGTCCGGAGCACAATCTTGTTGAGTAGGAATCAGTGATGGTAAAAGAACCTAACTACAGAGAATGCTTGCCCTGCTCTAGGCTACTGCTCTTTGGTGTAGAAAAGTAGCCTTGAGTCTATGCCTTTCCTGGGGGCGCTTCCGTCTTTAAGAGCACTTGCTGAGGCACGGTAACTCACTCGGGTGAGCAGACAACCACCAGACATGGAACACACCAGTTTATCACAAAGAACGCCCCCATCTGTGCAGGGCAAAACACAGGCATGGGCTTATTTTCACAAATAAAAAAAAAAGCACCATCTGTGAATTTATCAAACTAAGTCAGAACATATGGGCATAACAAAACCATATCAGAGAAGCCAGGGCCATGGGCTTAGCAGACACCAAACCAAAGGATGATGTAACTTCCCCACCTGAGTCAAATAAAAGGAGACATTGTTGGGTGTGGTGACACCTATAATCCCAGCTCTTGGGCGTGTGAGGGAGTATTACAAGTTTGAAGCCAGCAAAGCTACATGGTAAAACCCTAGCTTAAAAGTAGGAGGACCTTGCTCTGGCATTTATGGTCCTGTCATTAGGTCACTCTGTGTTCGTCACTGGGTGGACTCCTGATTCTGCTTCCGGGACTTCAGTTCAGCAGTCACCCTGCCTGACCTGCCCACTAGAGCTGTGTAGTTGTCCAGACCCCACGGTATCTTAAACCAGCTCTGCACCTAGACAGCCCGGTCCCCTGAAGAGCTTTCTGATGAGTTCTTGATACCTAGCCATCAGTAGTCATACAGAGCTATGTCAACTCTGTGCTTTTGCCTGCAATAGGGCCTTTCTGAAACCTGTGATGGTCATAGCCCTTGCTTAGTAGTCTTGTGTGGCATGACATGTGTAATCTGAGAGGTAATAGTATTAGTAACTAAGATTGGAGTGGAATAAAAATGATTGTTCAGTGGTCAGGTTCCAAATGAAATCAAGACTTCTTGGTTCCTTGAAGCTAATGAAATGGGCACAGCTTATGGATTTGTTGTTATTCAATAAATTCCGACACTGAGGAAAGATACAAACATGTTGGTGACAACATTAAAATTAACTCCACTGACCAATATAAGATAAACTTAAAGTCATTAAGTCCCTTGGTCCTGGACATGTAAAGGCTAACACTAGCAAATGACCAAAGCATATTCATTTTTGACAGGGATTTATACACCTCAGAATAATTTAGCTAACTTGTCAGTTTCCAGAAAATTAAACACAGGCTCATTCAGACCTGGGTGGAAGTCCCAAGTTAACAACAGACTGCCACTGGCCCTGGGCTTACCTTCTCAGAGATGTCACTTTCTAAAACATAGGACCTCACTGTGTAGCTTAGGCTGGCCTCAAACCTGTAATGCTCCTGCTTCAGCCTCCTTCCTGGGGTTCAGATGGGTGTCACCATGCTTGACATTGTCACTCATTCTTTTCATGCATGAGACATGGGTACCAGTTGTGGTGGATGAGGAACCCTGTTTAGTATTAGCCTCATGCCTGGCGTGGAAAGTGTAGCTTTTGTGTGACAAGGCAGACTTGTCCTCCTAGGAGCTTACATGGTAAGTACATGTATCCATTAAACCAACTACTAATAGACGTGCTGGCTGGTGCAAATGTTATAACCTAGGAAGTAGGGGTCAACAGAGGCTCAGCTTGCTGGGCAAGCTGAGTGATCTGAGTTGAATTCCCAGAGCCCCAAATGGAAGAACAAGTCCTGGGAGTTGTTCTCTGGCTCCTACACACATGTTGAGGCATGTAATATCCCGCCCTTCTCAAAAACGAATAAATGTTAAAACAAGCAAAAAAAAAAAAAAAAAAAACCCTGGGGAACTGGAGAGATGGCTCAGATGGCTCAGTGGTTAAGAACACTCGTGGTGCCGGGCGGTGGTGGCGCACGCCTTTAATCCCAGCACTCGGGAGGCAGAGGCAGGCGGATCTCTGTGAGTTCGAGGCCGGGCTGGACCAATAGCCTCCGAAGCAATACAGAGAAACCCTGTCTCGTAAAAACCAAAAAAAAAAAAAAAAAAGAACATATATGGCTCTCACCGAGGGCCTGGCTTCAGTTCTCAGTGCACACATGACCCACCAACATCTGAACCAGCTCCAGGAGCTCTTACACCCTCTTTCGGCACTATAAACATGGAACGTACACATACATGCAGGCAAAACACCCATAACATAAAAATAAATAATTAAACAAAAATTTAAAGATTAGGAAACAGCAGAGATCAAGGTTGTAAATAGACATTTTTTCCCCCCTGTAAGTAGGAAACTTGCTGTAACAGCAGGCGAGTTTTAAGACAGAAGAAGAATTGCGTTTTGTACCTATTGAACTCATTCTCCTTCGAGTTTAGGAAGAATTTGTATGTGGGATAGTATATCACACAGGTAATTTAAGGGAATGTGTAGCAGAGTAGGAAGTGCACATTTGCCCCCCAAACTCTTTCTCTTTGGACTGCTAATAGATTCTGCTTACAGGCACTTCCTTTGTTCTGATCCGCTTTAAAGTGATTTGAATTTTAAAGGTGAGAAAAAAAAAGCTGGATTTTTATTTTATTTTTGCCCCTCAGTGCTGGGAGTGGAGCTTTGATAAGGGTGGGCCCCCTGAGCTATACCCATCCTCTGTCTTTGTGGCATGGGGGATTGACCAGAGCCTTGCACAGGACAGACAAACACACATGCAGATAACACACATGCAAGCAAATAAAATAATCTTGAATTTTCTCGGTCGCGAAATGGATTTGGCTTTTAGAAAAGTTTGTTGGTACTCGATGAAAGTACTGAATCAAGTTGAGGGATGTCGAAGTGACTCAAACACGAAAGTACTTGTCACCCAAGTTCATGGCCTGAGTTCCATCCCCAGGACTCCCAAAAGTTGTCTCTTACTGCTTCACTTGTACTTAGGCCTGTATACCCACACACACAAAGGAAGGGGGGAGGGAGGGAGGGAGGGAGGGAAGGGAGGCAGGAAGGGAGGGAGGGAGAGAAGGGAGGAAGGAAGGGGAGAAGGGAGGGAGAAAATCACCTTAAAACAAACTTTTGCTGTTATTAAAGAGGCCAGCTGGTAAACCAACTCCATACCCTCCCTCTTTTGAAAGAAGGCACACACATACCCCTGCCCTGTTGTTTCCTTGGGGGCTGTACAGTGCAGTGACTCACAGCCCAGGCCTGGTTGGAGCACTCTCGTGACCTGAGGCTGGAGAGATGGTAGTGGTTAGAGCTGCTCTTCCCGAGGACCTAGTTTGATTCCCAGCGTCCACACAGCAGCTCACTGCTGTAACTCCAGTCCCAGGGCTCTGCAGGGCTTTTCCAGCCTCCTTGGGCACATGAGGTGCACAGAAATATACGCAGACAAAACATCCATGCATGTAAAGACTGTATTTTTTATGGCAGTCACTTAAAAATAATCGTGAACTGGATACAGTTTTCCTCCGTGTATTCAACACTTTGTAAGGATTGTACAAAGAAACAAAATACAAACATTTAGGTTTCGAAGAATGCATTCTACATTTTTTAATAAAGAGCTAGATTGTGTTAGTTTTGGTTTTTTTTTGTTTTGTTTTGTTTTTTGTTTTTTACGAGACAGGGTTTCTCTGTATTGTTTTGGAGGCTGTCGATCCAGCCTGGCCTCAAACTCACAGAGATCCGCCTGTCTCTGCCTCCCGAGTGCTGGGATTAAAGGTGTGCGCCACCACCGCCCGGCTGTGTTAGTTATTTTTAAAGGCTTTAAAACTACCTAGTCCATTTCTTTCTTTTTATGGGAATACCAGTTTTGAGAATGTAAATGTCCTGTTTAGATGACACACAGGCAGATTCTAAGTAATTGAGGCCCCCAGAGCCAGCTCAGGTGCTCAGGTCTGTGTGGTATAAATCATTGGTAGGAAGGACTGGTAGTTC